ACTTCACAAGCATGCACAAGACAGCACTGTTGAATCCTGAACCTTGGCAGCATTTTTTAAAGCCATGAAAGACATTCTGCAAGTTTGTAAGAAGGTCAAATTTTATATTTTTAAGTCTTTTCCCTAAAATCTTTTAAGTCATTGTTAATGATCAAGCTCTACGATCTTGCAAACTCTCACGGCATCTAGTGATCAGGCACTTTACTAGTGAACTAGACTGTCTGGTACATCAGTATATAAATCCTGCCTCCACAAGAGCTGCAAGACAAGCTTCCCTTGCCAGGTAGCTGCTGCAGAATGTGACAGTGACGGCGGTATTAGAGATGAACGTGAGACACATCACCTGATTTCCAGTTCAGCAACATAAATGAAGTAGACCTGATCAACCGCTTAGAACCAGAAATGGCAGAGATAACAATTACTATCAATAATCAATATTGCTTTATTATTTCTGTGACTGAAAAGTGACTAAGCAATACCACTTTAAATATGCACTGCATAAGGGCAAGAGAGTTATATATACTTCAAGTTGTGTGAGGGTGAGGTTCTACTCCCCCCAAAAAATTGCTTATTTTAAAATGTTCTACAGAGGAACCTTTTACCTCTTTAGTATTCACCCAAAAACATTTTGAAAGCAATATTACCCTCATGTTATAAACACAGAACCTGACAGAAAGATCTGAAGAGTCTACAAAAAGGAAAAAGTAATTTTGTATAGTAGCATTGCAAAACTCTACTTTGATAATTCTAAACTGAAAAAGAAGAAAAATTAACTTCTTGATAGTGCTACATATTTGAAGCACCTTTACTAATAGTGCATTCTGCATCTATCAAATTAACTAAGCTAGAAGATAAGGAACTATAACATGTTAAAATGATTTGGATATTCACCTTCAATACTTACTAATGGCAAGCCCACTTTTAATCCTACTTAGCTATTTATTAGGGCAATTGAATGCAATTTCACTATTATTCATCATTATGTTTAAGATTTTTTCTATGCTCTAGTCTTGCTATTATAAGTCTATATTAGAATTGCTTTTCTGTTTCTTTAAACATGGGTTTTGCTTTAAGTGAACCATAGCAACTGCAAAGAAGTTACCTGCACCCCCTAAGCTCAGAGTGAATTGCTCAAGCATTGCTAATTTTGAGGTGGGAGGAGTTGTAGAAATGAGGTCTTTTTATATAAAAAGCTTAAATGACTCATGAAAACTCTTTTGGCATAGCTTATACATGCTTGACAACAACAACAACATATATATAGCACCATCCATCACTCAAGTGCTGTACAAACTAGCCCAAAAACATTGGGCATAACGGGCTATTTCTGAGAGCAGGGAACTGGCTGTTACCAAGTCAAGTTTCCTTATCAGCTATATAAAGTACCTTACACTTGACATGCAGTAAATCAGTGTTTAAAAAGTATAAGGTACCTGGCATAACTGTCCAGGAGATTTCCAATTGGCCAAAATGTCTGCAAGGGAATGGGTCAACACAAACATACCCCCTTAAAGTTTCTGACCTTGGTCAAATTTCCAGGCTAGTCACCAGCAATGGTGCACTGTCACAGATGAAAAACCTGAATGTTTTCTACAGTGCTCATACAGCTGCACACTAATCACAGATGGTGGAACTGAAGTGAATAGTCTGCTGAAAAGGGCTAATAAAGAAGAATCCAAATCAACAGACATGTCTGGATCTAAATGTCTGGTCTACCTATCAGTAAATGCACTTGCCAATCAGTTTCATAGGCTAATCAAAGTACAACTGCTTTTTACTTTCCAGCATTCCTTTTTAGATATTCTGGAATTTAGCTCCACTAGTGATCTGGTATTTATTTTCACACTACTTATAGCTAAAGTCAGCTTATACACACAACTTCTGCCACCCACAGATTTTCCTTTCTGTCAGTCCTGCTTCCAGCTCTCAAATTCCTGCATCTTTCTCTGTCAGCTAAACATTCTTGGTCATCTGGTCTGCACAGCTAGAGACTTCGCTGCTTTAAGTGCCATAGTCCTGGCCCCTTGACTTAATATGAAAAAATTATTCTAATAAAGGAGCTAAGGCTGGATCACATCCAAAGACTAACAATATTGTTCCTCTTTAAGCTCAGATGCTGCAAAAGGAAGTTCAACAGAAATAAGATCATATGTAAACAATATGCCACATAGTGGCATATCCAAAAAAGTATAAAGTATTACAGACTACATAAAAAGCCTTATATGTGTCCTGAGAGATGCCAAACACCTGGCTCTACTGCTTTTCTCTGCCATCACTGCAACTTAATATCAGAAAAGTAAATGCAGAAACTTTCTCGAAGTGCTGCTGGCCTTCCATACTGAAGACAAAGCACTCACAAAGGAAGAGCATCAATCAATCAGATGACACACGAGTGGCTTTCCTTAATTAGAGACTAGCTAACATTAGAATTGGCAAGTGAACAGAAGGCTCCATACATTGCTACCGCTTCCACCTACAACCTTTATCTCAGTTCCTCCGCACCTTATACTGACTACCTACCCCACACTAGTCTCTTTGTCTTCTTCTCCCACTCAATTTTCTGCTTGAAAAAACTCTCCTTCTTTTACGTGCCAGGTAGAACTCCCTGCCTTTCTTTCAATACTTCCTTACACCAGTTCCCTCCAGCTTCTTTGTTCCACTCAGTCCTGTTCGAGGGGCCTCCATTGCTATTATCCAAACTGCACCACAGGGGCATTGCTTCACTCATCACACACCTTGTCATTCTAGAAGACAAGTGTAGGCTTGAAGACCTTCTGTAAAGCACACCTGATGGGGCAACATGAGATCTTAGACCTTAGAGTGAACAGCTGTTCTTTTAGTTGTTCATCCAGTTATAACTAATTCCTCAATCCAAAATAAAAACCCAATGGTCATATAAAGGATAGAAATTAATTCGCAAGTCCCTGTGCTCTGGTTTGAAATTTTCTGTAACTTAGATCAAGACCATAGAAATAGCCATTCTTTCACATCAAAGGCAGCAGCATTCTGGGTAATCAAAGAGCAACCCTGACAAGGATAAGAGTTAATTATGAAATAGATCTCAAGATAGGGCTGGCAATTAGTGTTTACTCTGCAACATACAGCACTCTAGAAGCACATCTGGAGCAGCCAGGATGTGCCCTTTTACAGGTGTATGTACCATTCTGTCCAGGGCCTCCCAGTCTGTATAAACCACCTGGCAGCTACTAAAGAATCTCTCTGTTCACCTCAACTCCCTATAAAAACTTTTTTTGAAATATTCTTATGGTAGTTTACTCCCACATGAGAGGATCTCCCTAAAACACACAGAAATCCATAGTACACACGAAGCTCTTCAGTTACATCAGGTGTGCAGACATTCCAGGTCCTTCACAGAAACCTGATCAACCTGAGTGGTTTTTACATTACTGCTTTGCTTTCAAAGCATGTGCAGTACTCAACACTTCTGAGGCCCTTTACGTTTCCAAAGCACTATACAAACACTATTTAATTAGAGACAGCTAACAAGAATATCCCAAGATACTGAATCTCAGCATGCAGCAAGGATTTTTATTTTTTTCCCCCCATAAATAGGTAAAATTAAGGACTGAAAGATGCCTAAAAGTGTGCTGAACTGTGGAACAATACCTTCAAGCAAAAAGGTGTTATATTTGAAACTTCCATACTGCCAGTGTGTAGGAAAGATCCAGCCCAGCCTGGCCAAACAGAAATGGCTCTGGTTCACTGGTAACTAGAGAGGATATCACACATGCTATCAGATGCAGTTTCTATTCACAAAAGACATCCACACTGTACACACACTTCTCCTTACTGGCACTACACTGCAGCCATGCCTCTAGGGGCTCTGCTCTGATGAAAACAACTGAAAAGAAATTAGTAATCCCTTAATTAGTGGCACCCGTTTCACCTTCTGCAGGAATAATTTAGACAGTCTGAATGGGCCACATGTCACACAAAGTGAAAATTTAATAAATGAAAGTGACTCAGATTGTCCGTTCATTTCTCTGTACCTACAACCTAGCTGGGGAAGGCTACTGAAGGTAAGTACTCAGTGTTAACTTAGAACAGCTTCACAAACCACTCATCACTGTCTTTTTCAAAAGCCTCCTCTCCCAAATTTCTGATGGGAGTTGCGTTACACCAGGCAAGTCACGGATCCTAGGTCTCGAGCACAGCTCCAGGAATACACAATTAGGGCCATGTTCCCCTGAATTTTCATAAAGCTCTTGTTTAAGCCACAACAGCAAGGGGATTAACTGTACTTTCCTAGCTGAGCTACTTCACTGCTTGCTAGATAAGAACAGAAGCACACACCCTAACCACCAAAAACGTCTGTTAGGTCTCATCATCCATTCTGCTACTCCCTTCCTCAGACCTCCCACGCAATAACTGCATCATGTCAGAGTCCTACAAAGCTATGTCCAGTAGATTATGTCAAACCCTGTAATATTTATCTATCTCTGGATACAAGTGGCATGAAACAGACTTACCTACCATCAAATCAAAGGTCAGAGTTAAAAGCCTCTCTTCCCTCACAGTGACATTTCTAAGCTGCTCTCTTCAGAAGGGGCTGCACACACTACTCTATGTGTATGCAGCTCTGACAGTAAAAAGGAAAAGCAAGGTCCATCTCCCTTTACCCAAGAGCCTGTTTTCCTTCTACTCACAAATACCTGAGAGAAACACTACTCCATAAAACATTACTCCCTTTCTCTAATCAGGTGAACAGGGACTCAGGTAATGAAACAGAAAAACAAAGACATTTGGATACCATGGTGATCATGGCCAGACAAGAAAGTAAATTAGCTACCATTATGATAATGAACTGGCTTTCCAAAAGAGGCAATTTGCATGTAGCAACTGAGAAGCAAAATAAAGATGCTTTAACAGAACTGCTGCTTGCTGTTTAACCCTGTAGCAACGGAACAAGCAGTCACAGCCACCAAACAGCCACTGCTCTGGGCTTTTCCTATTTGACTGTCACTGCAGATGCAAAGTACCTGACCAGAGCTCCCTCCAGGTGTAATGAAGTCTCACTCTGCATTTCTTCTGGTAGCACAGCAGCTTGTGCACAATCTGAATGCACCGTCTGGAAAAGAGAGGGTAAAGGATTAATGACATTGCATTTTCCAGGAATTCTACATCAAACCTGGAAATGTCTCCGAAATCAGCAGCAGAGAAACTCAAAGACTATCAGAGGAGGATGGGACTTGTGGCTTTGAGCTCCTAAAGGGAATGAAAAAAGAATCAGACAAAATGAAAGAAAGGGGCCTGTATGTCAGTTTAAGCTCAACAGGATTGGACTGAACACAAATGCATATTCATTGTTTAATTAACACTTTCCACTCTTTGCTACCCTTACCTGAGAGTCTCATAAGCTCTACAAAATGAGTTACTTGTAGGCTCCATATGTATGAGATACTGCATGTTATTGTAAAATCTGGACACAGTGGAGTTTCTCAGTTTCTTTGGCCCAAATGATGAGGCTAAAGGAAGTAAGAGTGTCAAAAAAACTACAGGATTTTTAGTTTGACTGAGGTGTGTGGTTTAATTACATTTTTAAAAAAAAAAGATAGATATTTGTATTCATTTTTCCAGTCTCCTTAAAAAGTAATTTAGGTGGAGCTTTGGAATGATGAAGCACTACACATACAAGCTCTGGAATCCCCCAACACAGCCAGTGTACTTGGCAAGTCTCTAAATAATCCTGTAGGTCTCTATAGCATCTAGCACTCATACAAACTTTCAGGTGCACAAACATTCTTCACAAATAATATCAGAACTAAATATACAGTATAATGAGTAAATTCTCTATCATTAGCTATCATTACAGACAAGACAAAAAATTTATACAAATTTCAATTTCTTAGGTTAGGCTATTTTTAGTTATTAACATTTAGAAAAAATAGAAGGAAGGCTTCTAAAAAGAAAAATTCCTTTTTCCCCAAATTCTTATTTGTCAAAAACATCTCATTAATGTGAACATCTTTCTGAAAAGACATTGATGAAAGACACTACACATCAGATAAACATAGAGAAATCAAATCCTAGAAATTTGCAAGGAATTTATTCAAAATGGTGTGAAGAGTTCAACAGCAGGCTTTAAAAATAAGGCTGTAGAAAAAAATATGCAGAAGGTGTATCTTATTCTTTTCAGACCTTTAGATGATCCCAAAAATACCACAGTGAGGTAAGAACTAAAACTAACTTTGAATGAACAAAAGTAACCCCATCTATAATCGCTGAGCATCACAGTAAGTGCTGTATTTCAAATAGCATTCTCATAAATTCAACCAAGAAAAGGAAGCAAACCAGCTAGGATAGACAGCTGTCTTCAGATCAGGAACAGTAATCACTCTGGGAAGAGACCTCCTATTTCTGATGTTACTGGTACCAGACAATGCCCAGCACCTTTTCACCTACATATTTGCTTGGCTGTAAGTCTAAAATTGGCCTCTACAAGAAAAAAAAAGCAGAACTCTATTTAAGACGCTGACCAGAGAGAATCTGCTAATGGCTAAAACGTTTCTTTATAATAACAATAGCTGTTAATGCAAAATAATCTGCATACACATCTCATCACTGAAACCTTGTGATTGTACACAGTAGCATACAGCTACTGTGAAATCAAGGCACAGACAGAAAGGGATTAGAAGGGGCATAATAGTCCTAGTACCCCTGCCTAGACTCCCAAACTACACTGCTTTAGTTGTGAAACTGCTTTAGTTATGAAGACATCCATCCCGGTGGGGTATTTCTGTTTTTTAGTTTTATGCTGAGGATTCATAATACATATAATGGACAAAAAGCACCCTTACTCTAAGCAATCTGGATTTCTCTTTTAAATATTAATATGCCCGCCCTTGAGCAGCTTTATGTTGTCACCTTTTAAACGTACTGCAGAGAAGTATGACACTACTTGTGCATTCAGAACACCCACTTTGTCTGCAATAACTGTGTCTGCTATGGGATGGTTTCAGACAGGAGCATAGTGAAAGGACTGCACAAACATGCCAAAATGAATGGATACAGATGTCCACTGGTGGTTGCTACTACTCATTGTTTTTAGTCTCATGGAGTTTCTGGATGTGACATTACTTCTGAGCCCAAGCAGTTCACACCTTTGTTGTGAAACTCCAGTGCATTATACCCATCTACAACTAATTCTGAAACTGTCATTAAAAAAAACATTTCTCACAAAGTCAACTGAACTATACAACCTTTGAAAAGGCACTGTAATTGCAGGGTTATGTGGGCAAAATCAGAACATGGTGAAAAGTTACCTTAAGGGAAAACATCCTATGTGTCTTTATCTTTTCTACAGAATATAGTGCTGTTCACGCCTTGGGGAAATTCAGCACTTGTACAAACAGTCAGAGCAAAGCCAACAATCTGCCTAAATCCTATTTCTGCCCTCCGGGCTAAAGCAGCACAAAAGCATTTGAGGGGCCCCCGTGGGACACATGGAATGCTCATGAGTAGCTCTGTCCTCTTGTCTCCTTTTGCCCATTGCTCAGTTTTACCCCTTGTAAGCTATTTCAGGCTTAAACCTCTCTTCCTCTCCACATTGCCTTCCAGGCCTCACATCAGTCATCCTTGGGTTTTTAAAACTGTCTTTTCTGTTTCTAGACCAAGATTCATCTTCTGGGAAGTGGGGATTCTTGCAATGACTTTGTGTTATGAAACTTCTTTTAGACTGAAAAGCTCTTTGTGTTAGATCAAGTAGATTAGGAAAACAGTCTGAAAGGTAGAAATTCATTTCACTTTCAATTTTCTGGCACACAGAGGATTTTAGAAAAAGTTACTGGAAGAGTTCATGAAACGCCATCCTGCTCCCCACCAGCCACAGCGTTATTTCAGCAGGAAGATCGCTCTGTGAGCAGAATTCCACCCGAATTCAAACTTCAAATGAAATCACAGTGAGTTACCCCACAACACTTACACATAGAGATCCATAGGAAATTCTTTCATCATGTGTGTTACAATGAATTCCACCATCAAATCTGACAAAAAAGAAAATGATTAAGTAAGTATTGAGCTGGCTACTGGTAACATCTCGTAGACTATGAGGAAATCAAACTGCCCCACCTACCTACCTCTACCAGACAACAGTCCTGCTTAGATGAGAGGAATTTCACTTGTTTGTTTGTTTGTTTTAAAGAGCATTGGACATCCTCTAGAATTAGAAAAGAAACTACTGCAAACTGACGGTACATACTGTATCCTTTTGCTTTGAGGCACTGCTTCCCCATATACTTTCCCCCACTAAGAGTCAAATAAAGACTATACAATGAATTCTGATGTTTAGAATTGCTCTCGCATTTCAAGCCTTGTCGCTAATGGAAAACTCCATTAAGAAGCAAACTTTAGAAAATTATTCTTGCAAGAAACAATGGACAACCTAGAAGTTTACTTAAAGAGACATTGTAGATAACACCTATTCTTCCTTAAAACAAATTCTGAAGTAAAGCTAGTTTGATCTCAACATAGGCTAGGCTTCTGCTTAAGATTAATTCGGGGGGGGGAAAAAAGAAAAAAGGAGAATGGGCTGCCCATTTAAGGGCTCCCAGTGTGAGGATAAGAGGCAAAGAATATAGAAATACAACTGAAAGAGATAAATTATGATGGTTCAGCTAATAAATGATAATCGAATGTGTGTGTGCTCAACACAACTTCAGCAAAAAATGCTTATCCCATGCCAGTGGTAACAATTGTGAGCTGTAACCTCCCAGGGCACTTATAGCCCAGCAGTATGACTCAACAGTGACTAAAAACAGTCTAGAGAAAGAGTGCATAAGATCTGATAAGTCTAGAAATGCTCTTCATGCAGCTATTGTGTCTTGGCTTCAACAAGCACGTCTTTGAAAATGCTGGAAGTCTAAGACTGCTTCCATACCATCCTGCTTAAGAGTCATTCAGGGATCCAGGCTTCATCCATTTCTGAACGCATTTATTCTTTTGGCCCCCACAGTAACGAGAGCCACAATTTAATCATGTGTTGTATGAAAAGCTTTTAACGATGCCGCCATATCCGCAGGCAAAACCAATCCTAGCTACTGACATCCTATTGGTTTTTTACCCAGAAAAGGCTAAATACCCAGCAAACACATTCACAAATATGTCCTTTCCATAGGTTTGCCATCCTCATATCACCTACAAAGTACTTAGGGCTAATTGTTACCACACTCACCTAAAACTGAATTTATTAATGAGCTGTCCTCCCTGTTGTTACTAGCTCATATCAAAGGGGCCAACTGGCTTCTGGAAAGCTTACTGTGAATATATATAGGATTTCTTGCTACAGAGCTGCAATCTTGGATTTAAATTGTCTGTGAAGCAGCCATGTATGGTATGGAGATGGACATTCCATTGTTGGAAACATCTTTAGTATGTAACTGTCCTCCTTTTAAGTCCATCCACCCCTCCACTTAAGCCACAAACCTCATATTTCTACTGCACAACAAGAGGTGCCTTGGGAACCACAAGCACACAGGTACTGTGACAATACTCACCGAGCACAGCACACACCAGCGGGCGGCAGGGCAGGTTCTTGTCTGCTGCTTTCTTACGATGTCTCATCGGCTTCAAACACACAAAGATGAAAAGAAATCAGCAGAAGCCTGAAGTGACAGTCTGTGTATTACTGTATTTTTCAAGCAAGTAGTATCATCAGCACAGGCTTCCCTTTGTCCTTTTCTCCAACTGCTGTCTTACCTATATTAATCCTAAAGGCCGTGGCTGGAGCAAAATTGCGCCTGCTTTTCCATACTGGGGTTTTGTTTCTCTAGCTGTGTAACTGGAGGGCCCTGTTATACTGGGGGAGGGTGTGAACACCACAAGACAAAAACAAATCACACAGCAATTCCTCCCCCTTGGTTAACATACTGATTTGTTCCTGACCCAGAAGTCTGATTGGCATTCTTAACAGTGTGTGCATTATTCAGTGGCTTTGGTGTTTATTGTAATAGACCAGAAAGGCTAACTAGATGGCAAGTTTGTTGTTAAGTGGTAAGGACTGGCATCCTTGAAGTATGCTCACTATAAAGTAAGATGTTTGTTTCTGTCCTGGATTAGTGACAATTTTAAGTGCTGTTTCACTGTCAGATAAGGTGGAATTTGCCAGTATAACAAAGACAGAATGCATCAAGTTAGCATAACCATTCAAGCTACTTGTAACTACAGAGCTTCATGAGCCAGGTAATGACACTGCCCCCACAGATATCTATAGGAAAAAGCTCTGGAAAAAATACTTTCCTCCCTGAAGGTGAGAAGAAATCACCTTCAGGATGAAGCATAAGCCAAATGAGAGCACTCAGTGTAATTCCAGCTGGCTATTATATATCACATGAGGGCTCATGCTTGCTGAAGATTAAGGCAGAACATTCCCTCTGCCACTGATTTCCTCAGAGATCTCATAATACGCAGCTCCTCCTCAGCTACACAGGCCTCTGAATTCACTGACAGGGCAACCAGCTCTTTGTTCTTTGAAGAGACATTCTGAGAGCAATTTCAAAATCATTCCCCAACTACTGCATTTCTCACAGTATTTCTACATGCCTTAGCAATCTAGGTTAGATGTCTGTGACACAGTTTCCAACATACAGGGTCTCAAATCCTCTCAGTTTGCATCCCAAAGAGAAAACAATCTAGAAGAAAAGACTCACCATTCTATGTAGGTTTACACGAAAATTCATGTTGTCATCATGAAGAAAAGCATTAGCATACTGATCCTATTGAAAAGGGCAAGAAGAGGGAGGAAGTGTGAACAGCCCAGCATCTTACAGTTGCCTCTCAAATCACAGGTGTTTCAGTGTAATACTCCCAACATATAACTATAAAGTTAAAAAGATATCTGTAACTTCTTGCCCCCACCTATGTTTCCAGTCACACAAAAGTAAACCCCTCCTGATCCCAATTCCACTTTAACTAAAGCCTGAACTACTGCTTGTTTTGTTAGCAATTTATTTTCCATTCTCCTCTTCTGCTCATTCAAACTCTGGACTGCACACACCACTATGTCAAGAGTTCAACAAGTGCTCCAGATGTATAATATATGAAGGTGGTTCTCCAGCACACCAGTTTCTGTGACTATGTGGATGAAGGTTTAAATTGGCATTTTAATGGACCCATCATGCCAGAAGTTACTGCAGTACTAGCAGATGTTCCACCTCTCAGGCAAAGCTCATTCCAAGACCATCTCTACATTAAAGAGACTTCTCCAGATAATGCATGGTCAGGATGGGTAATAAATATAACCTCCCTTAATACCAGAACCAAAACATGCCCTTGTTATGGAGAAACAGAATTTCTTATCTTGTGTTATCTATGCATCCACCTGAAGAAAAAGTGCCAAACCCATTTAATTAGAAAAATTTAAAATGTAGATGATTAACTTTCAGGCTGTACCCTGAAGAAACATTACTTCAGAATCCTTGCCCTGCTATCAACATTACACCTTTTCATTCTTTGTTAAGAAGGAAAGGTCTTTATTTGCAAGCAAGCAAAATGCAAATGCCATGCAAACACAATCACCATTCAGGACATCAGTCAGACCATGAGTATATACTTCCCATGAGACAGGACCACATTCTGCCAGGACTGCTGACCTAGCTCTGTGATGCTGCTTTCTCACCCTACTATCACAATTGCTACTTGTTTTCCTTGTAGGGACCTACAGCCATGTGACTTTCTTTCAGACTTCTACCCTTCTTCAGCAGAAGGGATATGGCATAGCCTGTGTTTACCATGAACAGCACAGCGCTGAAAGCCATTAGCACATTACTCATCTAAAAGCCACATCACAAGGTCACTTGACAACTAAGAGAGAAAAGGCTTAGGTTCACTTTTTTCTCTTCATTCTTGGGAGTTGGATAATCTTATTTGGGTTAGCCAATTTTCAAGTTTCGAGTCAACTTTAACAGTACTGTACCAGGTTTATTAGCAAAACATTAAGTGCCTGAGGTCCTAACCACTCAGTTCCATTGTGGATATTAAACTCCTGCTCCACCAGAGGCAGGTAGATAGAGCCCTGTAACACACCATCTGCTGAGCAGCTTCACACAAGAAACTTACCTCTGCTATGCATGTCAGGATGATCAGGCACAGCTTGCCACTGTGCAGCCGGTGCTCATCTGCAAAGAAGAAAAACAAGTCCTCTGTGAGCCACACAAGCCTAGCAAGGCTAAAGAGAGAGCGAGCTGTTGCAGCAAAAGAAAAGCCCAGCTTGGAGATAATTCATACTCCTACTTCCTCTGTGATATTTAATAGTCTATTCCCATTAGGCATTCACCCTCCAGCCTGTCCACTAAATCCCACCCCACAGTCTGCACCAAGAGCAAAAGTTTCAGATTTGAACCTCCAACAGCACTGTAACTATCCGCTGGGCTTCCAACCTCATTCAGTTTTACTTCCACAGATACTCTAAATACTGGGGTTAGTCCCTGTCTTTCTGTCACAGCAGAGACACATTGTTCCCTCTCTTTGACAGGATGGAAAGAAAAACATCACCTTTGCTGTAGGTTATGAAACAAGCGGCAAAGCTTTGTCAGACACACAGCACGGTGTAGCAGAATGACTCCTGACATTATGCTCAAAGTTCCAAGTTTTAACCCCAATACTGAGAGACACGACCTACTTTGCTCTGTGCAAAACTATGAAAGGAGGAAGTCTGCAAAGACTTAGCATTTTAAGCCAAAAGAGTTTCACACTGATCATGTTCCAACAACTTCTTATTCATCCTACACTTTCAAGCAGCTTTGGCCCTGAATGACAATTGGAGGGCTGAAAGACTCACTAATAGAGAGGGACTAAGGCAGAAGAATGCAATTTTTACTTGGATTATTTAAAACTCTCCTCTCTCAATTTTAACCTTGAATATAAAAAACCCTCAAGATACATATAGTCATAGAGGACCACAGGATGGAACAAGCCTCTGGTTCAATCTTTTATAAAAACAGGGCCAGGTAAGACCAGGTTGCTGAAGGCACTGTCCAATCAAGCTCATTTAAAAATCTTTGTTCTAAAAAACAAACCGCTCACACTACACACCCCCAAACCCACAAAAACAAACAGAACCCAACAACAACAACATACCTATAACCAAATCCTGAGGAAGCTTAAAATTGCACATTCCTGAGACCTCCAACAGCTTTTCTAAAGCATAAGACTACTAAACATCCCAGGCATCTGCCTTAAACTTGGAGAAGATGGAAACATGAGACCCACTTTCATATAAACCAGGAGACAGCCAAACTCCTTGCATCTTTGCAGATGACTTCTACAAACACTTTGCTAGCTGGTGTGTATATGGTAATCTATAAAAATAGATAGAATGGGCTTAACTAGCTGCTCTGTCTAGTTTGATGCCTTGTTTTCTTTACTATGCTGCTGAGGGACAGATATTTATAACAAGATATGCCCTGAAGTATGCTGATTTCATCTTGCTGCACTAAGTAAGATGAAGAGGAATTTTGGAATGGAAAAGTTAAATGTCTCTCCTATTTTCTTACCTCAGCTAAAATGTTATAAAGTCTTGTACTCCAGCAAAGCAGGAGAAATGGCCTCAAATAATACTGATGCACAAGAGTCTTATTATATTCATATTGTAAGGCCTCCCTGTATATTTCTGTAGGTGCTGCTACCACTTCTCTCTCTGGGGATTATGCTGTAAAGGCTCGTTTCACACCAAGTACTCTGCCTCCTGCCGACGCTCTGTGAACATCACGCCATTTTCAGCAGCAATGGGGCAACTGCAAGCAGCTCCTTGCACAGACACTTTGTATTTCACAGCATCCTTCACTAAAGGAACAAAGCAAGCCACTTTCTAAGGGGAGGTGTATCACTATAAACCCTGCTTCACCAATGGGAAAAAAATGACACAGAGGTTTTGTTTCTCCCAAGGCGGCTGCCTCTGACTGACACAAAAGAGGAAAACAAGAGGATCTAGGAAAAATAATCTATTAAATTATGCTCTCCAGGACAGGACCAAAACAACTGTCTAGTCCTGGATATGGAACAAACCAGTCTCCCCTCTAAGTGTTCCCAGCTGTCTCAAGACACCTGAAGTAAATTGGAATTATTCATCTTTTTTGCTATATTGGTGTCACATTGAATCATAGAATCGCTTAGGTTAGAGAAGACCTTTTAGATCATGGAGTCCAACTGTCAACCCAGCACTGCCAATCTACCAGTAAACCATGTCCCAAAGTGCCTACATGTCCTCTAAATACCTTCAGGGATTGTGACTCGAGCACTTCCCTGTGCAGTCTGTTCCATGCTTGATCTTATACAAGAAAAAATTAGGCAGGGCTCCATCTAGAATCAAAATATAAGGACAGGAACATACCCACTAGAACTAATAAGTTCAGGTTTGGAGGGCACACTTTAAACGATCGATCAGTGGAGCTCATTGCCACACACTACCATGGTGGGAGGGAGATTAGGTCTATCAGCCAGACCAATTTCAAACGTTACACAAGCTAGAACCAAAGCAAAGAGAGAAACATCAACTCCTGTCTCATAGCATAATAAACTCATCTCTTACTGGCTTGTTTAGTAAGGAATCCCCTCTATCAGATTTCACTCCATCTGAAACTAATCCAGTTTGGCAGTTCCCGAATCCCTGCACAGACTTTTCATGTTACGGTGACTAATAAGTGCAGAAGTTAAATTGAAAAACACAAAATTGTTGCATCAGAGATCTGGATCAGCAAGACAGACCCTGAGAAAAGCAAATGAGAATGATTAGAGAGCTGGTAAGCCCTCCTCATGTGTACAATCTATTGGAAATGACTGAGCAAAGATTGATGTGGTTTAGTTCAAAAGACAAAAGCTAGAGGAAACATGAAAGCAGATTTCAAATACATAAAGGCTGACACAAAGAAAAAAGAAACAATCCATTCTCAATATCTATCTTGGAGAAGATAGACAGTAATTCAAATCATAGCAAAGAATTTAGGAAGCACATGAAGCTTTCTCATAATAAGGATGGTTAAACACCAGAGTGGACAGTCTGGAAATGGTGCTCCACTATCACAGTGTCTTCATCCAACCTGTCAGCAACACCTCTGAGAAAAGATTCAGGTAAATCTGATTCTGCCTTGGTTTTGAGGAGTTGTCAAGATTTAAACCCAGACAGCAACTAAATACCATGCACCTGCTTACTCACTTCCAATGCTTCTCCTCTTCCCCCAGTGTGAAGGAGAATCAGAAAGAAAAGGTAAACCATGCGGGTTGAGGTAAGAACAATTTAATAATTAAAACATCGTCATAATAATAACCATAATAATCATCAGCAGAGTGAGAGAAGGTAACAGAACCCAAGAGAAACAAGTGATGCACAATACAATTCACGATACAATTGCTCACCACCTGTTGACCAATACCCAGCCCATCCCTGAACAGCAAATGGCCCCTTTTGGGTAACTCCCCCAGTTTATCCATTAGGCGTGACATTCTATGGTGTGGAATATCCCCTTGGACAGTTCAGGTCAGCTATCCCAGCCATGCTCCCTCCTTGCTTTTTGTGCACTTCCTCACTGGCAGAGCATGAGAACTGAAAATTTCTTGATTTAGGGTAAGCACTTCTTAGTCAGGGTCAAAATATCAGTGTGGTATCAATATCATTCACATACTGAATCCAAAATAACAGCACTGTATCAGATACTAAGAAGAAAATTAACTGTGTCCCAGCCAAAATCAGGACAGGGGTGCACTAGACATTTTCATAAAGTCCCTTTCAGTCCTAATTTAATTTATTCACTTTTTCCCCAATTAGCTTGCTTGCAGAACAAGGCAGCCAAGTGTAACTTCACTGTAAGCTAGTAGGTAAAAGGAAACTCTCCTGCCTGTTCTCTTATTCAATGCCAAGCAATCACGAAGTTCAATAATTGATGTATCATAGCTCTGCAGCTGTCATCCTATTTTCATTCAGTTGTTACATCTAACTTCACAGCAAAAGTCAGTAATAGGCTGAAACACGGTGCAAAGATCACTTGTTATGTTCACACTATGGTCCTGCCCATAGAACCACTGGGCAAAACAGCACCCTTGGGTACCCTGAGCAGGAGATGAACCAATACTTCAACTCCAGCAAGCTGAAATTAACCACCACACTACTACAGGAGAAACAAAGATGGAAAGATGGAAAGATACTTTCTCAAGCAAATTACTGCCAGTGCAGTCTAAGTTACTGCTGTTCTCTTTACAATTACATAGCTACATGTTTAACCACTAAATATTAAAGGACAAAGGAAATATTTCCTCCCAATGCTGAGTTTTACCTCCTGTGTCAGTTTCTAAGTGTTCTTTAAAGTACAGTTCTCTGGTGCCTGAGACTTCCCCTCTCTGACAGTTGGGAATCATATGCTCACACCTCCTGCATCTGGACAGGCTTGGTTATTAGGTACTATAATCTATTATTAGATTCTTTCCATACTTGACATCTTTCCTGCCAGCATTAGGTCTCTCCTAGTCTCATAACTCTTTATCTCACAATAAGAAATCTCTTAATTTTCCCAAAAGGTGGAATTCCTTTAAAGGGACTCCAGTTCACTTCTATTTCTGGAGTCACTAGACATGTTCTTGTGACCTCCTCACTTCAAGAAGCACTGTTTGCTGCATCCAAAGAATTCATTTACCTTTTGTGTCCTGCATCACAATTGAGCTGTACTTCAAGAAGGTTATCAGCAGGTTGCTGGTTTGCACATCAGCATCCAAAGGTAGCTCTGCAGAGCTTATAACTGGAACAAAGCAGATAAGACACACAAGATATAATGTAACAATTATTGACCAAAGCTGTAGAAAAGGGATGCAGAAAGATCAGCTTTATAAAAATCAAGAAGCAAAAGCAGTCACAGCTTGTGCTAGATACATCACAACCCAGCAGGGAGCAGAAATGTACTTTCCATACCCGCAGCAGTTCATTGGCATTTCTCTGGGACACCAGCTGTACTTTTGACATCTTAACAGTGGACATCATCTGCCTTAGACTTCACAAGAAGCCATCTCAGTTCCTCAGCTAACTGCACAATGTGCCTCCTGCTCGCTCCCCATGCACACCATCTGAAGCACAGAGTTTACGAGCTGCCAAACCCCTATCACGTGACTGAGCCACATTTTTACTGATGACTGTGCCTGAGCTGTCCTAAAGGGCCATTCTCAGCCTTCCCATTCAGAAAGCTTTATGAGAAATATTGAAAGGGAGGAGCAAAAAGGTAAGTGGTAAAAATGCAGCATGCATTTACCTGCAGATCCTGCCAGTCTGATACCATTTAAGGTAAATTAGCTCAGACAAAAGAAACCCCAAACTGATGGAGGTAGTCTAGGAAGACTTCAGTAAAGTACTTAATACAGTTCTGTATGAAAAATTAAGAGTGAAGCAGATAAGTGGGAAGTAATACTTAAATTTAACGTACATCAAAGATCTGGTAAAGGAGAAGCAATTGGAGAAATTATTAGTCTGAGAAGAAACTACCGCTTGAATTCCTTAGGTGTCACTTTAGATAATAGTTCTCGGGTTTGTGAGTAACCTGGGCACAAGAAACAGTTGCTTGCTAATGAATCTAGAGCATGGTGCTAAAAGCATCAAGGCTGTGAAGTTCAGTCCCCATATGGGCCATTCACTCGATGATCCTTGTGGGTCCCTTCCAACTCAGAATATTCTGTGAAATCTGCTAATCGCAGGAAGTTGGGACATGTAAACACAGAGGAGTATCAGACTGTGCACAAAGAATAAAAACAAGAACAGATAATAAATACAACATGAAATTCAACGATGTAAGCCATAGGGTCAGGAATTCAGGGATTTATTTCCATGGCAAACCGAGAGCTCATCAGCTGCCAACAAACTACCTTGATACACTATCAGATCATGAGATGACACGCTACCAACACCAGTGGTTCTACAACATATCCAGAAATGTACTTCCAGCAGAGACAGGAACACTGTAATGCCTGGCACAAGGTGCTGGTGAGACCTTATCTCAAACATTTTCTATAACTATGCAGAACCCATGTTCAAAGAGGATGAGCTTAAACTTGAAGAATATTAGAGAAAGGTTAGCAGGTGGAACATAGGAAAAGAGTACCCTTCTTGTGAGACAGCAAAATACATATTTTAGATAGAAATTACTGGGAAACAAATTAAGTCAGAGTTCAATAAATTTAAGGGATGGATATGCCTGCGAGCACAGGGCACTAATAGTCTAGGGGATCTTTTCCAGCTCTACGTACATGACAATAACATGGCTGTTCTGGCTGCTTAGGAGCTCAAACTCACAGGTTTTCACATGTAGGAGGTCACAGGTGGCTTGAATTACAATTGTCAGAAGGCTCTCTCTCTTCTCAAGCTATAGAGATAGCCTGAGATAGGGCTCCTTTTGCACTGGAAACAGATCTACAGACCACTAGGACACATCTTAAGAACTATATTATCTCTTTTCCATCTATCCTCAGGAACACCCAAGGCTTTTCTCACTCTTGAGGAAAGAAAAAGGTATTTATGATGAGACTGAACCTTGCAAGAAGTGAGGAATTACTTATAAATGATTGTTGGATGTCTAGGTTGGGAACTCTGAAGGGAAGTACTTTGATCCTGTACACAACTGTGTTCTGGTTCAGAGAAAAGTCAGCTTTAACATGCAATGCCTTTCACAATTCAAGGCTTGTATCTCATAACCCTGTAATGAGGCAAGTGAGGCTTATTTACCCCCCTGGAACTGGGGCAAGGACAGGTACAGAAAGATGAAGGAGACGAACCAGCAGTAAAATGCAGTATTCTTTAAACTGAGCACAGAGAGGCCCAGAACACAGTAGAGGTTCTCATGGAACTTAGGATTATACAATCACCTTGAATACAAAATTGTAGCCCTTGGAAACAACAGGTCAAATAGATCAATGTAACTTCACTGTTTGAGCCACATAAAAAAAATCATAATAGGGCTTTGAACTTCTAAAAGTTCAAAGTGTGAGCTGGTTTAGTCCATTCAGGCTTGATGCCCTGGGGCTCCTGACACATTGCAAACATGCCAGGTCTGTTGGCAAAGTCTGTGCAATAAGACTGGAAGCTTTTTCATTCCCAATATTATGAATAGCTCAAAGATTCAGCTAAAAGTCTGAAAAATGTATTTATATCCCCAGTGGGTCCTTCTTGAGCTGTTACAATGAACATAGTGAATGAATATTTAACAACAGTAAGCAAACTGACATTTAGATAACTATGGTGACAGCCACACTTGATTTACATATTATGGATCAACAGTTTCTAGCAAGTCTCATTTTTGGGAAAAAAAAAAAAAAAAAAAAAAAGAAATCACTCTGAAGAACATATCCCTGCTTATCCTGGTTCATGCTACAGACCTTGGTGGTTTTTTTTAAACACACATTTTGAAACTTTATAAGGTCTTAATTCACACTATAGGCTAACAGCGAGAGAAATTCCAAACCAGAATATGAACCCATTTTTAATCCCAGTCAGCATAAAAGAAAAGTGCCTGAAACCCATAGAGGGACTTCTACATGTTATTGTAACTTGAAAACAGTTCAACTACACATTTTTTTAATGCAGGAAAAAGAAAGCAATCTTTTCATTCCAAAGCCAAAAAGCCTCTTGCTAACCTTCAGCCATGGGCAAATTTTACATCTGCGTTGCAAGACCTTAGAAAATGAGGAAAATTCTGACATATTTTTAAAATAACAGCAATACTGAAGCATCGCCAAACTAAACCAAGCTGAGAGTCGTAAAAAAAATTATCACTGAGAGCAGGGATCAGCAAGGTGACAGTAAACAGAAATACAGAATGCCTCCCGATGTAGTTGCTGCACATGAAGATCAGATCCTCTTCTTAAATTTAGTAGCCTTGCAAGCCACAAGAAGCCTTGAACTTTACAAGATCACTGCCTCTGCTTAAAGCAGGATGGAGTTTTTGTTTTGATTTTGGTTTGTCTTTTGGTAAATGAAAAAAAAAAAAAAAAAAGAGTGCAAGCAAGCCATACATGTAGGTAAGCACAAATCCTGTCAGTTGTGTAATACGGTGTGTGGGCGGATACATTTGCAATGAACACGTTGAACACAAGCCCACAAAATGCCCGTCCCTCCACATTTCATGTTACATGCACACAGAGACTTGAGACATAGGGGACTCTTTATCTGAAGCTTCTGTTATCCATGGTAACCAGAGAGAATTCATCCCGAGGAGGATCATCCTTAACTAGGGTATCAAATGACCTGAATAGCTGATGTAACTGAGTAACCCAGGCTGCTTTTCCCCAGAAATATTTCCAAACTGTGCTCTATTCAAATTGACTCTGTTCCTTCATTAAACACTTTCTTCAGCTCTGGAGCGTGCCATTAAAGTACATGACAACAGCCATTTAATTTCTTCTCTTAAACTAGGCTTTATCTATCCATACCTTAAATTGCAAGGGTTTTATTTTAGGAGATTGCAATACATATTTATGTGGACTTGTAACTCTCATTTCAAAGAAAGATCTTGGGGTAAGCAGTCTTTTACAACGCCTATCAGAGAAAAGGCAGTAAGAGGGAGGAATACTTCCACACCCAAACAGAATTCAAATCCCAATTAATTCAAAGCTGAGGATAACTGCATTAATGACAAGCAGGAATCCACTGCAATTCTCTGTAAATCTGTTCCAATGACAAATAATCCCAAGCAAAGGACCTGACACTAGAAATATTCATAAGCCCACATAGAATAACTAATGGGCTGGCTGTATCTTCATGCAGATATTGGAAGAGTACTGTTTTCAGAAGGAATATCAGCATTATTTCATTGACCAATATACAATGAAACAGAAATAAATTTGAGTCAAAAATCTTGCCCATTTTCAGTAAGGCAAGTCGCTTCAGGAGGAGACCATCAGGTTACATCTGCTCCAGACAGATCTCATTAGTTGCCATCTTGAGAAAATACTTTGCTAGTTATTTTACAGTTTTCAATAATTTTTCCCCAGGAGATCATTACATTTCTTACCATCTGAAGAAGGCGGGGTGGTTCCAAGTGGAGTGACGGGTGTCATTGGAATTGGGCTTGTTGGTGTTGTCATCAGGCCCATTTCAGGATGGCTCTAACAGGAAACACACATGCACAGGTCAATAGCTTCCCCAGCCATTGGAAACACAGATCATTACTTGTACTGTTCCATAGTCTCACACAGACATGACTAATGAAGTCTCAACAAACTTCAGCCTCTCTTCCAAAATGCCAGGCCGTGCTTCCTGACCTTGGACATCCAACAGTTAAACAGTACATCAATTTCTTTATTCCCTAAAACACAAAAATATATCAGAAAGTGGTGGCTCTCCCCAGCAGACAGAAAATACTCCCATGTAGAATGGGAAAAGGTTTGCAGAAGCCTATATTGCTTATAGCTTCTGATTTCCCCAAAAACAACCCAAGGATGTGCATTTGAAGTCTTCCTCCAAGATCCTGTCATTTCTCTTTCTAAAAGCAAATTCTCCTCACTCCTGCCCCCCTCACCTGTTCATATTCAAAGATGATGGCAATATATTACTTTTCTGTCTCACTATAAAGCCCAGGCACTGCAGGACAGGAGTGGATAACATAAATAACACTATCATTATCGATGCTCTCAGCTTCCATCAGTCAGTTACTCTCCCCATTTCATCTTTGCTAATAGTTGCCTGCTCAACTGCTTTGACTTTACTCTTTGCAAGCTTCCGGATCTATCCACACACTGGTGAGAGCATAGGCAATCTGCTATTTTTGAGTCTGACTGCCAAGCAAAGTGTCCATTTCATAGGGCAAGTTTTACATAAATGTATCATCTGCTTTAATATATCATCACAATTTCAAAATAAAAGAAAGATATAGAACTGCTGATTTGACATTCGTTCCATAGGATTTTTCACAAGTGGATGTCCTCCACGCTGCCTCTGAATATCTCATTTATGAGCAACTATAAATGCATGTAATTTATGGGAAGCACGGACACACATACTACAACTCAAAGACAATTTTACATCACTATAGGTCTTAACTTAAACTTTAAAACACAATTTTTCACTGTAAGTCTTACATAAGCCAGGTTTGCTTCCACAGATTTTGGGAGTTTTCCTTCTTTATCCCGAACAGTAACTGGTAGTTGAGAGACAAGAGTGCCACCCAGCAGCAAACCCGAGCACCCACGGCTGGTGAACACATGGAAACCTTATTGCTCCGTACATCCACACAATTGAATCCCTGCTCTTCCCATGCGTCACACAGCAGCAGGGAGCCATTCATGCAGTGCCAAGCAATGGGCACCAACTTAGGCAAGAGCATTCATCAGCTTTTATGAGGTTTTTCCAACATGACATGACCTACCTTGCCCTCTCTTAAATGAAGGATTACAGACAATCCACCCAAGAGGCCTCCGCATCAATTAAACCCACTGATCAGTGGCTGCTTCAGCTATTACTTTCACAAATAACTAGTCTATCCTTTTATTTTTAAGAGCTTTTACTCTATGTGATCTTTATCTGCCCTACTCTTTTCCCTACCAAAGGTCTCTCTTCCCTCAGGAATATCTTGACCACAGAAAGGCCTGAGTTGGTACTACACAGAACTGAAAGAGCAGAAATCTCTCACAAGTGGTAGGAATGAATAACCTGGGAAAAGACAGGCAGGGAACCTCAGCAAATTAACCGTCCATGAAACAGCAGCTTTCTTCAGAGGCTGCAGATCTGCTTATCAGACCTCTTCCATCACCACTACTGTCAGGAGTCCTCAAAGGTCTCCTCCATCATGCCAAGTGTCTAGCCTGTGATGTATGGCTGCTCTCTGAGGACCTGAAATAACTGGGGAAAGGTGCTAACTGTTTTGCTGATGTTTTTCTCACAGATTAATACCAATACCTAGAAACCAAAATTAAAAGCCTAAACCTGAAGGTTTACCTAAACACATCACGCTACTTTTGCAGCCAGTCACACCCCGATCACCAGATCAGACAGGCTCATTTTCTGCTTTCCAGCAACAACCACCTTTGCAAACTCACACAGTGTTTAGGAAAGCATCCAGAGCTTTGTGATCAGAGGTATGGAGCAGCCCACTGCTGCTCAGAAGGCTGCCATAGCTGTTTCTCCACCATAAACAGCACAAGGACAAGTGCTATGCTCCGGCAACAAGTTCCCAAGCAAAATGGGTCAGGCAAAACAGACAACATCACACAGTCTGCGCACACCCATACAGGACAATTCATCCAAGCCTGGAGCTGAATCAGTCTCTTTCTCTCAATACTAACTTAACAAAAGTGTGATTTGCTCTAAGAGCTGCAGCTACCTTATCCCTACTAGTTCACTCGTTCCATCTTCCCCCTAAGTCTACTCAATAGAGTACAGAAGGGACTCCATGCAGCCCTTCCCATTTAGTGGGAAAAACAAATAATTCCAGCATGAACTGTGACCTCAAAACTCTACTGATTTTCTGTCAAGGAAGGAAGCATTTCCTAAAATGCTTCTCAGGCCCTGGCCTGAGTCTGATCTTTCATGCTGATCCTATGACAAGTATGCAGGGGCGTACATCTTTTCACCGATTCCATTTCTGACTCTCTAATTTCAAACACATGCACTACAAAGAAATGGGGAAACATTCCACTGAAACTCACCTGTGCCAGAACTGTGATGAAATTCCGGTTTAAGTGAACAGCTTCATAGAGGGCCAGAAGGATTGCTTCATTCGTTCTGTGGGAAGGATACAGACAAAAGGCACAGTCAGTGATCAGAATACCAGAAGCCAAGTTGTTCAGAAGCAAGGTCTATCTGAAAAAAGAAAATTTTTTTTTAACTACAGAAAACTCTGACTCTGCAATCCAGTTGTATTGTATTCCGATTATTAGTAGTATTCAGCAATGCATAAAAATAGCTATTTTTAGAGCTCAACTACAGACTTTGTTCCCTTCCTGCTGAAGGTGTCCCTCATTGCTCAAACAGTGCTTTCCCTTAAAAGTCCTTTGTTTTAAGGGCAGAGGGTCCTGTAGACACCAAAACCCCTCATATTTATCACCTGCCCCCTTGATTTAGAAAATATTTTGGTGGGGACAAGAGTACGTGAATTATCACTTCCCATGTGCCACCTCCAACATGCCTATTATATGTTATAAATGCCCCATAAAAACCACTGCATTTTTTCTTATAAACTTCATTACAAGCAATTCAGCTGTGGCTCCTCCTGCTGCACCCTGCCCACTGAAGGGAGAATCCAGTTTGCAGTGGTGTGGTACTACTTTAGTGACAAGAGAACCTGCCCCTGTTGTTTGCTGTGGGACATTAGAACAGCTCCATGACAGAGTGGGTCACACTGACCAGCTCATTGTGTAACTAACATTTGTGCACTTACTGGACCGAGATCTTCTCATCAGCATCTGCTATGAACATGCTGCCCACCTATGGAAAGAGAGAGCATTGCACAGCAGGAATTCGGGAAAGCTATTAGACAACAAGAGAGAATACATGGATACAAACAGATTTGATTTTGCAGTCCTGTCACTGACCAATTCTTCACCTGTCAAATCACAAAAAAAGGAAAAAAGAAAAAGGACTGGACCTTGGATCCCAGCCTGGATTAGTCTGCCATTCTGTAAGAGGACAACAGAGATTGCTTCCTATCTGCTTGCCCCAGAGTGGTAGCAGTTTCACCCAAGTCACTCCTGACAGACAGCTGTTAACAGTGAACTATCCTTACTTAAAGGAAATTTTCCTGTCAGTTAGATCTCAGACTACAATTAAATGTCAGATGAAAGTAAGGCCAAACTGAACAAGGGTAACAGTGGATACTCTTCACAAGGAAGAAATTCACAATTGTCTTTGAAGGGTACCCCTCCAAAAATGCAGACAGTGCCCACTGCGGAATCCAAGCTTACCCCATGGTCACTCAGTACACCCAGACTTGAGAAACAAGACAGTAAAGAAACAGAAACTCTAAAGCTAGTGACAGCCCAGACTGTGCCACTCTGTTCTAGGTCACATCAGCAGAGTAGTAACTTTTTTTAAAAAACAAGTAGCCATTTAAAAGTGATTAAGAAGTTTAACAAACTGATTAAAAGGTTTTTTCAAGTGATTTTTAAAATAAAGTCAACTAGAATAACAATGATGCAGGAAAACAATTTCAATTATCAACACCAGAATAGAGATCTTGTCCTTTGAAAGAGCTTTCCCAGCCAGATAACAACACAGTCCTCAGAATACAGCCATTTCAGTTGTATTTGGTTTGGATACATTCAACCCATGCCTGCAGAACCCACATCCCAAACTCACAGTTTACAGAAATGCCCTCCTGCTGAACTTGCATGAAGACAGCTATTTTAAGAGTAGAAAAAACGCTGCTTCCTTGCTTACCATATTAGTTAGGGCTGAGAAGAAACCAGTCTGATGCTCCTCTTCCTTATCTTTGTATTGCCTGAACAAAAAGAAATAAGGATGAAGTTTCAGGGTTATACATGGAACTAGGGTTATTTTACCTAAATCACTGTAAGATAGTCTTATCTGATAAGTATACAGGATGGAAGAAGCTTCAACATTCACAAGCCTTTTTCAAGAATTCACAAAAGATGCAAAGGGTATTAAAATATTTGTAAATTGTGTAGAGTTGAGGTGGGGTTGCTGAAAGATGTGAGAGTTGAACAATGCTTGTGCTGTTACAGAGGACATGGGCAGCCTGGGCTAACACAGAAGGAAAGGACTCAAGTGACTTAGGAAATTTTGTCCTGCACTGGAAAAACAGTAATAAACCACATGAAGCAACAGAGTCAGTAACCACAGAACAGTTTCATTTCAATTATCTGCTACAGACCAAATCAGAGTTGGCCACCCTAGGGCCAGCAGAAACCACGCAGACCATTATAGTTCATGGCCTGGTCTTGCCTGATCCCACATTCCTGGAGCAAGTGAAGAGACTGGAACTGAAGTCAAGGTATAGGTTGGGTACCTCAGGTTTAAGCTACGTTGCTACATTTGGCATTCAAACGCACTAGAAAAGCTCACGTGGCCATTTATGGTGTCTGTCATACAGCAATCTCATCATACACGATGTAATATGCAAAGTAAGCAATTCTAAATATTTGGAAAAGGGGGAAAGAAAGCACTGAGCTACGCAAAACAGGCCATGGTCTGAGACAGCTTTTGTCACAATGAAGGAAGTTGGGTGGGTGAGCTTTTTCTGCTTTACTGTGATAATTTACTCTGTTACATACATGATTTGCTGATTTTGCAAGTCACTTGCATAACTGCAACAGCAGACTTCCAAAGGAATTAAAACATTTTTCTGGATACTTTGAGAATCCTACTGCACAAAAAAATGTCACGTGTTCCTCCGGTAAAATTGCTGTAAGTTCTAAATTCTTCTGAAGCACTTTCCTCTTGGGAAAATGTACACATTTTGAGCTGTTGCATATGAAGCTGAGAACATGCTACCCTGCTGCTGACTTTCTGGCTCTTTCTTCAGCAGCAGTTACTGCTTTCCACCATGTGGAAGCACATGCATGCCCTAATCACCTCTGATCTGGCATGTGGACAGGCCTGGATACATTTGTTAGTTTGTCTGTTTGTTTTAGATAGCATTTCAGTTAAATCCATTTTCTAACAGAGAAGTTCTCAGCAAATCATTGATCTTTTCCTTTGGAACAAAGATTTTCCACAAGGTTCATAGAGAGGTAAAATCCATGACAATAAAAACATACAACAGATATCTTCCCCTAGAGCAAGATCTCTCCTGAAGCACATCAGCCCAGCTGGTAGAGATGGATTCACTCTTGCAATGACAGCAACAACTGAGTCAAAGTATCCTAAAGCATAGGACTATTCCCTGCCTCTCTGGGTGCATCAAGCCTATTAAGTGATAAACAAGTGCTTCAACACACAAAAAAATGTTTGTGAAAATGTACAGCAACTATCCTGTACTGAAAAATAAGACACAATTAGGTTTTACCTGTTATATTCCGATAAAGCCTGGGCAATTACAAGTCCCATTCCCTGAAAAAAGTGTTAAAAAAACTTCACATTACAAATCTCAAGGGAGGAAATCACACACTGAACACACATAGCAATGCTGTCCCCCAGATAACCTAGCATGCTATGAAGAATTTCCCTTGTAGATGTCTGAACTATTAAGACATGCTATGATACAACAAAATTACAAACCAAAAATCAAGACACCAAAATTTAAAGTTATATATTTAATTACTAAGTTCAACAGAGAACATTTACTCTCCTTGGATCTCCAGACAGCTTACTCACTCAAGAAGCTTCATTAAAACACCAAGTGCTTCAGAAGGAAGATGGTGTCAGAGGAAAGACATCCAAAAATTCAAAACAAGAGCCATAAACACTAGTAACCTTTAACTTCTTGCAAACAGCCTCCACCATTCCACAACTACTGAACATCCTTTCTGTCAAGCCAATTGAATTAACTCAGAATCACCCTTTAGTTAGCACGGAGCTTGCTTTTTACTTCATGCCTAAGGAACAGCTTCCAAGTCCAGACCTCCATAGCTCAGTGTGCTGTCACTTTTTATCCAGGCCAGGCTACAAAACTTAAGACTGTGGCTACAACCCAAAATATGTTGCAGGACTTTTGACTCAAATACAAGCTTCCACTGAGCTACAAGAATTGACTTGTGGACTGGTAAAATCGGGTGACATAGCACTGGAAATGAGATCTCTGGCATACGCCATCGTGTGCCTTTGGCATGTGACAGCAAATAGTGTATAGATAGTTCATAAATGTATAGCAGATCAACTTTAAGCATGTTTCTTGCTACCTAGCTTTTTAACCACCCCCACCATTTATTGGTGATCAAACTGTCCAAATCATGAGCGCCCTAACCCATTGCAAGAGTACAGTCAGGGCTGAACAACTCCTGTACTGGTGTTTCTCAGAGCAGCACTGTTCCTAGATCTGATTTCTACAATACACTGTGCTTGCATTCATTCCACTAACACCACACATGAAAGAGCATCCCCAGCAGCACAGAGGAATCAAGTCAAGTACTCACATTGAGCGTGGCCTCATCATCCACGATGGAGAGCTTCACAATGTAGGGATTCACTGACTGCTCAGCGTGAGGGGGGGAAGGAAGAAAGAAAATTGCTTGTAAGTTCAGCCTTCAGGAAAAAAACCACTATTATCTTTTCAAGTTTACCCAACCACCTGGGAAGAATCTGTCTCCTGTCCCGTAAAGTAGAATACGCACAAAGAAACAGGAGTCGCAGCACATGCTAAGGCTGCTGCCTGGGACACCTTCTCCTACTGGCTCAGCCAGGCAGTCTCCCGATTTTATTGAGAACGGGAGTTTCTGCTCCTCTGCAAGCTCATCTGTCAGTCTTGAAAGTGGAGCAGCTGTCCTGCAAGCTTGTTATCTGTGACACACACACTGTTATGCAGCAGGAACAGGCAGTGAAGCTGCGATGGAACATCAGCGTTCTGCTATCTCCCTTCTGCAACACCTTGCAAAGATTGCTTAAAGGAAGGAGGACCCAGGAAGGCAATGTTAGAGACTCATCTGCTGCTGGGTTAGAGATCAACACTTTGTTTACACCACTGAGAGCTGGAAGTCTCTGGAGAATATAAATTCCTTGAACTTAGCTGAACAAAGCATGCAGACTCCATCTATAAAGATAAATGCTAATAATTTAGGAAGCATTTTACATTAGCAACGCACATTTGTTTTTCCTGGTTTATATGTGTCAGTACAAAACTAGAAAAAGTTGATTTCAAACCAAGACACGGAAGAAAAGTCTCAGTCTGTGTAGTAAGCCCAAAGTGATGGGAAGAATAAAACACAAAACACGCATCAGTTGCTTGACAGCAAGTTAAAAATAAGGCTGATCAGAAAACACCACTCTCAGCTATCTGGTGCTTTGGGAGGATCAGTCTTTCTCTTTGGATCAGAAAAGAAATTGATCAGAACAGTTCAAAGCTCAGCCAGCCTCTGAGCTGCCTCCAGCAGCATCCAGCCCTGCCACTGTCTCAGAAAAAGACACAAAACTCACACAGAACCCAGCCGTGCATGAACCATGCAAAGACATTTCCTTGAGGCTGGAGTAAAGGCTCCTATGGAGTAACAATATGGGGTCCTCTCTGTACAACCATGCTCCCTTTCAGAAATTAAATTTAGTCAATGTCTGTGGAGCAGAAGCAAACATCACAAAGTCATAATTAAATATGGATTAAAATCCATCCTTGTAAATATACCTTAGTTTTGCTGATTTCAGTCATTCAACAGGGAGAAACTTCCCACACAACAGCTCATGCACAGAAGAGGCCAGCCTGTGACTCATGACCAATAAAAGTGATGAGGCTTTTCCAGGCAATGGCCCCTGGCTACCCTGGATTAGAGGCTGCAGAGTTACCCAAATTCCCAGATGTGGGAATAAGCGAACTGGGAGATACTACACTGACCAACACCATCAGGCTGACCTGACACCTACTCATACACTCAGTCCCATCAACAGAGAGGGAGGGAGAGTAGGTTGTTCCTTGTCATCTCCAGCCTGTGAACAATTTTTCACACTCCCACTGTCCTTGATTTTCCAAGATGCATGCTCCATGTCTCCCGTCTCTTGACAGCAAGATGCCAGCAGTGCACGGCTGAGAGGGTCATGAAGCTGGCCCAGCTTGCTACGGATCTCTGCCCTCTGTCTTTTCAGTTGTCACTTCCACACCTGCAGAAGTCTTTTTAACAATTCCTCTCTGAAGTATTCCATTCCCCTGACACATTCCATGCCTCCTTCTAGGCTTCCCTAACTCCTCAAGCAGCAGGCAGATTTCAGTGTATTTCACACACCGTATGGGGTGTGTGGGACAAGGCAGTCTCTACTGCACTGGTATGCAAGTCTGTATCAGTGTGATGGGAACCTTTCCCATGCTGCCCACAGGACATGCAGTTTGCTCGTGCTCCTCCTTGAGAGCCCACAGCTCCAGGTACTGTCCATGAGCACCGGTCTGCACATCTATGATGAGCGTCAGCAACCTGCAAGTTGTACAAGCACCACAACCAAACCCACCCCATACTCCCTGCCTGCTTTCCTGCTGTTTCGGAGTTCAGTTCCCCTCTCACCAGGAATCATAGCAGAAATGTGAAAAGTCTAAATTACACCTGCCACTCCACAACATGCACAGACATGCAACAGCCTTGGAAAGCAGTTAATAGCATTTTGAAAGCTTCCAATTGTCAGTTTCTGCCTCTACCTGCAGACAGAAAGAACTCAAAAATATGATTCTGAGCAATTCAGACAGCACAGGTCTTTTCCTATCACTGCCATCAGGTAACAAACAAAAAATAGCATAGAGATCTTCTTGTCAGGCATGACATACAGACACAAACTCCTGGAATCTGCGAATACTTGAGATGTCCTCCATGAACTACCCATCACTAGATGCCAACAATCTCATAGAAATAAAGCTGCAGAGGGATCATTACCAGGTCATTTTTAAAGTAATCCTCAGGTGAGACATGCCATACAAAGTGAGCATTGTATGGGAAAGTACACAAGTCTGGCAGAGAGAGAGATATCTCCTCCATGCCCCCAAACACATCTCTGAGACCTTTAACACAAATCCATGAGAAGTAATTTTTTAGGTAGGTAGAGAAAGCAGAAAAAACCCAAGCTAATCATGTATAATCCCTACTTGGGTGCTTAACTTATCTTCACATCTGTAACAGAAACGAAGGCCAGAGTCCACCCAATCACTCCTCACAAGAGCTTTCGCTGAACACTCATTAGAGATGATTCAGCAGGTCATTCTGCAGGGAACTGAAGCTTGAGTAATTACTCTTTTTGTTAAAGAGATTTGTTTAAAATAATTTCAGTTATGCATGATCTTTTTTTTTAATAAAAACAAAAAAACCCATGAACTTTCCAACTCTCCAGTGTTGTGTCTCTTCAGCACCCACAGTTGTCTATACCAAGGAGAGGCAAGTGCACATAACCAGACACAAAGAGCTGTTGGATACACTCCATGCTGCCAGACAATTTGAGAGAAGACTACAAAACTCACATCCCAAAAATATGAAAGAACATTCTGATGCAAAACACACTGGTATTCACACTAAAAACACACACGAAATCAGTTGGCTAATTAGCAACCAATGGAGTTCAGACAAAAAGAGAACCTATCAGCTGCAGCACAGTTAGCTAAAAAGAAAATTTCAAAGCATTTGAGGCATAAATGTATGCTACAATACATTGACAACCAGGCAACCACCAGAATGATTCTAAATGTCAAATAACAGCAAATGAAAGCAGCTACTGTACTTAAGGAGAAAGAGTCTGACTGCATTACTACAGGCTTTGCTTGTAGCACTGCTACAAAGGGCAGTGTTGGGCAATTGTCACATAAAACCTTTCTGGGAGTTGCTTTCAACCTTGCCAGATAAACTGCTCAAACTGAAGTTTCCCTTGCCACACATCTGCTTCAGCTGAATTGTACTTTTTAAGGATCACAATTTCTTTTGAGTGCCAAATTTCAAGACATCTAGGACAGTGTTCTCCAAAGCACTCAACTCCAACTCAATACTCCACAGAAAGCTACGGCAAAGAGCAGAGGACAAGTCTCATGTACTCACTGCATTCTACCTTACAAAGGACATAAGATGAATTCCACAGGGATCCATACCTCAGGGATGGGACTACACAGCTCTCCACCTTTTGGTCTGAACTTTGCAAGGAGACCTCTGGTCTTTCCAGTCTGCCCCCATCAGTACCCTTAGTCATGTTATCGCCAACAGTCTTCCCTCATAGCCATAAAATGAAATCAAACTCCTGTTCCACGCTACCACGGCACAGATTGCTGTACAGAACCTGTCATTCACGATTCTGACAACATTGACAGGAATGAGAAATTGACAGGCATTACTTTCACACCAAGTATAGCTCCTGTCTTTGCATATTCTCTAGATCTATTCATAATTCAAAACAAGATCCATTATAAAAACAGGTAGGTTTTGAAGCCTGTCCCTCCTAGTAATTCAGTTCAAGAAGGGGCATTCCAGAACTTTCCCATTTGTATATTAAGGTATTCCTGCTTGGGAAAACAAAAAACAATTGACCATTAAAGCACCATGCCTCATGCAAAGAAAAGCCAACAGCAGGTGTTTTTCCAACAGTCAAAATGTTTCTTTTTCAAGGTGATGAATAGCAGGAAAAAATGGGAATAGACCACGAAGTAGTACAACTGGTTTAGAAAAAGGAAGATGAATAAAGTTCCTCAAAGAGGAATCTGTCAAAGAGACAGAGAGAGACTTCTCTTGGAAATACTAGCTGTGATGTTTCAGTTCATTCTTTGGTCACAGCTTCACCATCTCTTCTGGGAATCTGTGCTCTTTCAGTCTGCTAGTCAGGTTCTGAATCACAAATTCAGTCTGAAGCCCAAGATGACTGACAGCCCATTTAACTTTGGAGAATATGTATAACTGCACACTCACACGCACAGAGGCAAACACGGTGGTTTGGCACAACAGTAACTCTTCCAAAAGAACTTTCCTCAGAATGCTTCTACGAAGGAAATGCAAATTCCCTAGGTAGTTTCTTTCATGCTGGTGCATAATGAGCTGTAGGAATATCATACACATTTGATTATAGATGTACATCAGAGACAAATACAGCATAACAGGACCGCCTTGCAAAGCTTCTGCAGCTCCGTGCTGATGTCCTGATAAATGTTACAGCGTGCAGTGCTAAAGCTGTACTGTGTGCTGCCTTAATAATAATCCAGCCTAAATTAATAAAGTTGAGAGAAGTAATGTTTCTGTTATCCAGAAGGCACCTACCTCATACTTTCTGTAGTTGACCAGCAAGGCCAGAAGGACAACAGCATCATAGCCATGTTCCCTGCGACTCAGTGGGCTGGACAGGATCTAGAATAAACAATCACACTGGTCTGTTCAGGCCTGCTTCAGGAAGCTTGCAGTGACTCTCAGAAAGTGCATACCCATGAAATGTATGTGTAAGAGCAAATTATGTCCTATCTGGAAAAGGGTACTTAAGGTCAAGGGACTGTCAGCATCTCCAGGAAGTTATGCACACAGAGAAGCTTATTTATCACAGAAAGAATGAACATACGCTTTCAGGACATAAAGGGCAAATATATTTCTCAACAGCACTGAACAGTATCTCACTGAATCACCAACATTACTTGTGCAAGTTTTCTGGATTTCCCCAAGCTCAGTTCCACTTCTAAAAACTATATTTTATCAAAGAGCAGAAAAAACCTTGATATATCCCCACTGCCTTTTGAAAGAAAGTTTCTCTGATACAGAAATTCTCTGCTAAATTAGCCCAGAAATCTGTTCGGTTTCTATCTGTGCAGAAATGTCTCAAGTGAAAATAAATACTCAGTAGTGACTAAAAACAGCAGACTAGAGTACAGAGGAGACAGCATTAAAAGAAATATATATGACTGACTTATGAATGGAAGTAACAACAGTGCCAGTGAGCTGTGTTGCTTAAAGCTGAAAAGCAAATACATCACTGAAAGCTCTCACTATGGAAGAAGAGCTCCTGCAGTGAAGGAAGAACCCTTACCTGTAAAATAGCTTCAAATATGCTGTTAATCATCACATACTCCAGGATGGTGTTCTGACTAATGTTATCCGTCACCTGAGAACAAACAAAAGGTTTAAAATCCCACACGAAGCCTCCACTGATGCTGCAGTTGCCTCTGGCACACACTGGGAGCACAAGAGTTCTACTCCCAGATGGACACATTTATCCAGAATCTCACACTTAGTCAGCAAGTCAAGGTGTGACCACCAGTAGAGTTAGACATGAAATAAAAGAAATATGCCCTGCCTCCCACCCCTCCCTCTGGCAAGAAGCACGACCCACATTCTAAGAGCTCCCCCTTTCCTCCACACATTGGTATCCTACACAGCTGCATGACAACAGCCATCAGCTCTTGCACATTCTACACAGGAGGCAGAAAATGAAAAACAGGTCATATATGTTCCACTGAGAACTCTCCCCCTCATGAAGAGGGCAGTGAAGACCTCCTCCACACTCAATTATCTCTTATCACAGTCAAAATAGTTCACGTTTGACCACGTCCAAGAGCTGATGAGTGGCCATTTACTACAACTTCCTCATTCTTCACATTCTCACCATTCTTGTCTACTCCACACTTTCTGTCTTTCCTCAAGCCCTCTCCCATTATTTCCATTTATCTGAGACTTCTTAAATATCTTTTTCCCTAGAACAACCCACACCTGTGAATCCAATTGACACTTCCTCCTGCCTCTCCCCTTTTGCCCCAGGCACCTCTCTTACAGGATTCTAGTCTGCACTGGCATTGTGGTTAGAGCCATGATGCATATTCTGGACTGACCCTTGTTCTCATTCACAATTTCTTTGCCCTTCTTAAGCTTCACACTGCAGCCTTCTGCTCAAGTTTTGAGACAGTTCCATCCCTCAAGATGTGGCTCACATAATCCCTGAAGTTATTATACAGCTGGTATTTACTTACAGTCACCAAGCAGAGAAGTAGCTTCAGACACAAGCTTTTGAGACTTTCAGAACCTTCAGCACAAAGGAGTGAGTCCAAGCTCTCCATCAGATTCTGAAGAACAACAGTCGCATTATTTAAAAGCAGTATTTTAAATTATTTGAAATATTTTTTTATAAACAACTTTTTGAAAGATTCAAATACAAGAGCACCAATATAAAGCCATGTTATTCCACAATCAGTAATTGAGCCATTATTACTGCTACACAGGCCATATTCACACTATTGTTTCTCAACACTGTTTTGTGTTAACTACATTTTAATGACTACAGGCATAACATCATGATCATTTTCCAAGAGTTTTCTCTAGATACATGAGATTTTTGTATACACAGAACAAATTATTTTATTCACAACGTAATTCTGAGCTCTACAAAATATGATTTTCGTTTTTGTTTGCAAGACAGTAATATCACTGCTTTATTTTTTCTATATTCCATTTTACTTATAGGAATAAAGACTTTTTTGTAAGCAGCATACCTCCAATTAACAGTACATATATAAGTTATGATTAAAAATAGATCCTATATAACTGTTTTACAGATATTCATCAACACTGTTTTCCAAATACTAAGTTTCAGGTAATACAGTTTTCTTAATGGAAAAATGTATTTCTGATAGGTAAATTACTACTTAATATTTTCCGCAATGTACTGCAATTTGTATAGAGCAGAAAAATTGCCACTGTTGTAGAGAGATGAAAGAGACAAAAAGGATTCAGCTTCATCACTGATTACTTCGTCAGTTCCCAAACTCAACATCTTTACAGTGAAGAGCATCAAATAATTTTAAAGCAGTACATGTGCTGACGGAATGTGAGAACACAGGATATGACTCAGATAAAAACTAAGTACAAGGTATGAGGTTCAATACTAGGTACTAATGGCCTGTGGCAGCCTTTTCTGGCTTTAAGATTTCTTAATTTCTGTGTGACTGCACGGTGTAGAACTAAAGGAAAAGAATATTTATTCTATTATATTACTAACAAACCGAGGGAGCCCAAGTGTCTTTGTGCCACTAGCAGGTAAAGAACTTCAGGACAGCTGGTTTTAGTAAGTGGCTGGAATACCTCCCCCCAAAGCTGCACCTTGGTAGGCACATGTGTCTATAAATCACTGCCCCTGCAACACAGCTGCTGTGCAAACTGTTCCTCTACATTGCCAGGGCCTCACCTTCATACATAGCTCTGCCTTATCAAAACCCACAAGCATGTTGATGATGTCAAAGCCAGAAGTGGATTTGTTCTTCTGATGGACACCCCGAATTAATGCACACAAAGTCTGCAAAGGGAAAAAACAGAAGGTAAGATGTAAGGCAACAGCTCCAACTCAGTAGCAACACCTGCAGCATGATGCTCTCCTAGCACTGGCAAAGCCCAGATATTGAAATTAATACCAGCAGCCTGGAAGCCATACATTTTGTCTGACCTCTCCTTCACCTCTATTGCTTCTAAGGAAGATCTTGGATGCTGAAGACTCAAAAAAATTGGAGAAGAATGCATTTGATCATAGTTTTTGAGTATAAATTTCTGTTTGGTTACCACAGTGCTATAACCAAGCCTGACCAGTAAACTGTCTCTTTGTCAACAGCAACAAAAAAGCAAACAAACACACCAAAAGAAATGTCTCCAAGGTTATTAGGCAGCTTAAGCTTTCCTAACTCCCTCCTTCACGTTTCTTGTTGCAGGCACTGGATTACTGCATCATACCAAGTTCTTGGAGATCGCTGGCAACACAAAGGTATCAGCACACCATGCTTCCAACAGACCCCCTGGAAAATTTATGGACATGACTAATTTGCCCCAAGAGAGGGAAATGTCTGTGGTGACTTTTGTCATCAGGCACCTCTCAGGCCTGCAAAGAGGGGAATGAGCAGCAATATAGCCACTGCAGTTTTAGATCCCAGCTTAAATTCACCTGTGAGAAGTAACTAGTTTCAGAAGATGTAAAGCTGGAGACAAGCAGACCTGAAGGAATTAGCACACATCTGGAACTATACAGAAGAAAAAGGATAAGGTAGACATCCTTTTTTTTGTTACTGTGAGAGACAGGATATTGGGCTAAACAAGCCCTTGGTCACCAAAATCATTCTCAAGAAATGATTGCTTAAATAAGTTTTGGCTTCAGGATCACTTTCCACATCAAAGTGATTAAAGGATAAGTCTCCTAACTCAAGCTCAGGACATGTTGCCTCACTCCAGTTTACACACACACAGCAGTATTCTAGACTTAGCCCTGCCCTAACTTTTTCCAAGAGTCTGGATAAAAGTTGGGGAATTCAAGGCTGGGCTAAGCTGTCTGTGTAGCTATAACTACAATATTTAACAGCATCCTTTCAAACTAATTCTGAAAATTATAATAAAACAATGCAAGATTGTATGTCAGAGGTGTAAATATTCTGTTTCAAACCAACTTTTCCCAGCTCACTGTCCGTCCAGTGTCTACTACAGATAACTTCTTCAAACCTGACATTCATATCCTGTACTCCTATAGCTGAGAGAAGCAAATGCATCCATCAGACTGTAAGAATGAGCTTGTGAACTAATAACATCAAACATCAAGACTGAGGAGGGGAGTCTCCCATATGAGACATGGGACAGCAGAACTTTGGTAAGGAAAAACCTGCAGGAAAATGGCTGTTAATTCTGGGTGACAATTGTTCACAGTTTCCAATTAGGAAGTGTCCAGCTGGGACAGTTTCCTGTATAAATTTCACACTAACTTCTCCAGAGGTTTATTTATTTTTCGACCCATACGGAAATTCAAAAATGCAGCTGAAATGAGTGAGAACAGGTGAAAGTAGAATAACAAAGCTACACAGAGTAAGCACTCTTGAGATGTCAAACTGACAGCCTGCAGTGTGCACAAGCCCCCTTGTCTCTTCACCAGATCCTCCTGAATTCTGAAACAAGCTATTGCTCTGCAAAGAGTAAAGAGACTATGAATGTTTGTAACCTCCACAGGCAGTAAGTAGCAACTGTTCTGTAGACATCACTTCTCCTCAGAAGCAAAGAAATGAGCAGCAAATATATTGCCTCATCAGAAGGAAAAGACAGCATTGCCTGTCTCCCAGCAGTACCTGTAATGCATTGACCACTCTGATTGGGTGCTCCTCACCCAGGGCCTGGATGCAGTGCTGAAACAAGCAGTTGATGTTATCTTTTATCTTCATTAACTCTTCCCCATCCAAAGCCTCCAGCTTGCCTTCCAGATACTCCAGGTTGACCTGTCAGGTTAAGAAGCAGTTCATGCATGTTACACCCTCACTGACACCTTAGAAACACAAGTCCTTGCCACTGGCAGAACAGCAGCAGTACATCAGAGGATGTTCAAATTTGGTTACCTTCATGAGAAATAGCTCCTCCCAAAACCGAGGGTTGCATTTACTGGGGTCCTCTGTCTGAAAGGAAAAGGAACAGCCATGAAGGCAAATAAGAAAAAATCATTCAGACAGAATTTAAAGAAAATCATTATCATGGGTAGCTCAGAGTCAACATCACCCTACTGGATGAACAAGCAGTCTCACAGTGCAGAATTCTGGCTACAGGGATTCCCAGAAACAGAAGGACCAACGGAAGTAGCTCTCAATTGGGATGCCTCTGTTTATTTACTGAGATGTTTTTTGAGAAATACTGGAAAAGCCACGGCTTCCCACAGATCACAAATGGTTCTGGTAAACAACAGGACAAAGTGACCTTAAGAGAGCAGAATACAGAGCTCTGCATGACAGCAGGAGAGCCTGAAGCGTGTGCCTACACTGTGCAGGCCTTACCTTGGGAAACAAATCTCACATAAAGAACCCTCAGCACAAACTAAACCAAGAAAACAACACAGCATTTTCAAAGAAGAGATGCTCAACTCCTTACCGTAAAAATCTCATCATACATCAACACAACTTTCTCTTTCAATGGCTTCTTGGAGGCTGAAGATTTCCGGAGCAGTCCACCTTTCTTCTCTGTTTGGGCCATGCTGTATACCCTGAAGGTAAGAACAGACAAAAAGGGCTCAGAAAACTTGAACTTTTCTTCAAGGCATATCTGGCCTGCCTTAACCATGAGACTTTTTGACAAGCTGCAAGTAGGGGCTTTTAACTATACCAGATAAGAAATCAGATCAAAGGACCCATCTAGTCCTATATCCCATTTCAAAGACATATGCAAAAGTCCAGACACAGGCAGAAACAGAATAAGCTCCTTATGGATAAATTTTCTTAATTCTTCTCTGCTAGAAACTGATTCATGATCCAGACCAATGCAGTTTACATCTAAAAAATTACATATTTTTTAATATCTTTGGAGGAATTGTGATACTTGATATCAAATGGATACCCAGTCCTTTTTGATGCTGTTCAAGCCTCAAGGGCATCTGGTGACTAAAAGCTCCTGAAACTGTTTGAAAAAGTCTTCTCTTACCTGTTCAATTTGCTTCCTACCAAAGCACTTCAAATTCGGCTTTTGCACTCTGAGGTGGCATCCAACACTAGGAAAGCCTCCCTAAAGCACTCCTGCCACCCTTATTCATCCCTACCTCTGCATCTTGGCATCTCTTCTGCGGCAGCTGCTCTGCAAATCAAGCCAGAGAGGAACCCCAGCCTCTAAAGCATCCCATGTGGTTCAGGTTTCGGAAGAGAATGGAAGAACACTGGGGAGAAGCTTTGCAGGGATTTTTTTTTTTTAAACCAGATGAATTTCATTATTTATTTGACAGTAAAGGGTTTTCTAAAAACAGAAGGAGGTTTTACTGTCATTAATTGGTGTCTTACAGATTATACTATTAAAAAAAAGGAAAAAAGGAAGTACCATTATTACAAAATGAGCCGTTACACAAAGTAACACCCATAGCTGTGGTCCTGAGCCTTCTATGACAGACAACCCTCTCCAGGGGCTGAGAGTCAGAACACATGACTTGCCACGTATTCTCAACCTTGTGTCTGATGTTACGAAGCACAGCACCACTCTGACCCTGCAAATATATATTTATCTGCAATCACAGATTTTCCTTGCAAGCACCACACCTCTGGCACAGTCCTAACCTCCTCTATCACTGCAGGATGTCAGAGGTACTTAGCAGAAAGGGAATGCCATCCCTTCTCATATCCCTGAGCTCCCAACCTTTCTCCCATCCCTCCAAAGGTAATTACACACATGGCAGCAGCATACCACACACGGAGGCTTGACTTCAGTCATGCTCCTGAAAAACATGGGCAGGGTCTTGTGGCAGTTGCACTCAGCCATGACAAATTACGCATAGCGAGGTAAGTTCACTGCTGTCGAATCTAAGACCCCAGAGCTGGCAGCCATGGAGACAGCTTGGGATGTAGGCTCAATCCCAGACTGCCTGAACCCCTTCCACAACTGCAGTGGATTTAGATCTGTCTTTCCCTCAAAGACCAAGTTCCAGCAACTACTGAATACCAGTTCCAGATCTCATTCATGTTCTTTCCACTGCAGACAGCTTTTATTTGACTTAAGCTACAAGTATGTTCTCAACTAGGTCTCTCAGGCTCCCCGAGTCAGTTATTCAAACTTCCATCCTTTGAGGCATAAATCTTGGCTCAAAGTGGCAGAAAAACATTTTTAGGAGAAACAATGCTGCTGCAAAAGACACTACCTCAGGTGTGAAGGGAAGGAGCTTTGCCTGGATGGGAAAGGGTAAGACAGAACAGCAGACCTCACACCTGAAAAGTCAACATTTACACAGAAAGGCGGAGAGGTGTTCTGTCTTCCCACTAGAAAGGGAATATGCACAGCTGGCTGGTTATGGGCTGGTGTGTGTGCTGGGGTGAGAATGGAAACAGCCCCGAGACACATTGACAGAAGAAAGCAACTACTGCATCATAACATCCTGTAAACACCAAAATTACTCCTGTAGCCTGGTAGGTCTGTGTATCCAACTAAGATGGAAAAAGGTTTCCAACCAACAAACAAAAAGGAAAACATTTTTCAATCATCTTGATAGCTTCTCTTTTACAGACTTTGCCTTATTTTTAAACTGTCATGGGAAATAAGACATTATTCTAATTAGAAACATAATTGGAAACAGAGAGAAACCTATTAAAAACCAAATCAAGTACGATGTCACTTTTAGCCTAGCAATACGAATCCTACCCAAGACTGCACAAAACAATTTTCCTACTAGAATTCTAAGTTTCTGAACCTAGAGCAGCTGCCAGCCCCAGCATACAAACACATCCATCAGTGTGCTTCTAATTGAATTACAGCTAACGAATCCCAATGTCAAAACTAATAAACTAACTCTCAGTGCTTCTAGGTCAGCATTCTCACATGAAATGTGTACGTGAATGGGAGGGGATCAATATGCTCTGCTTAGTCCCTGGACTTTCAGAGCTGTGTTTTAACCCTTCTCCTACATTTCCAGAAAGACAGAAAAATCTAAGTCCCTCAGGACACAAAGGCTTGATGCTGAGTGAGCATCAGAGGGATCGCATGATCGTGTGAAAATTCTAGTCTGTCAGCACAGGACTTGGGACTCACATTCTCTCAACCAAAGCTGCACAGAGCACATATAAAGACAATGCTAGAGGCAAGGATTAAATAATGTTCTTGTTTTTAATTTGCTATTCTACAAATGAGCATATGAAGGAGCAAGGAGAGAAAAGTAGAAGTTGCCTTCCATGCCAATGCTTTATTAGGCTGTGCTTGTTTCATGACCTATGATGATCAGGCCATACAAATGGCTTTTTCTTTTCACTTTATGCAATTACATTTTCTAGATGTCATAAAGACAAACAGAAAACTGCATTTTGCTAATGGAGACCTTCCAGGCAGCTGCAGAAACCAACAGTGAAATGCACAAAACATTTATAAATATGTTGTAGAGGTGTCAAATTATCCGGATGCTGGGATGCTTATGAAAACGTTATGACACTGAATACAGTTAACAATTTTCCTTTAAACATCACATTTAAAAAGCATCAGTGCATTTTCCACATTTTAGGTTCAAACATAATTTATTCTGTCAATAGGTCATTCCCATTAACACATGCTGCTAAGTGAATCCTGCTGTATTCACTGACTACATAGGAGAACTACCCCTCAGGGCCAAGAAAAGCACACACATGGGGATTTTTAGAACAACAAGTACTTTGCTGTGAAGCAGAAGATACAAGATGCTTCATCTGAACTAAAAGAAAACTCAACAAAGCACAAGTCTTGGCAGCTCAAAAGGCAGGAAGATAAAAGCCATGGCAGACAGAAGTTCAGGCAGACTCTTGCTTTATCTCTCATCAACCCTGAGATCAGCTGATGAAGTCAGGAAGGGATGAGCACATCCAACCATCCACCTCCTTTCTGTTTCATTCCAGAACTCGTAACGGAGATTCCAACCAAACATATGACATTCCAATGAACACAACTGTGTTAGCTTTTCATTAGAGTAGCCACAGGAAAAATGAAGCTGACATTTTGAGTCTGAGATTTACTCACACTTATGCACATTGAAGGCTGTGGATGCTCCACAGTTTTTTTCATTCAGCTCCTGTACAGACTTATTAGTATTCTATAGACCATCTTCTAATAGCAAAAAATGCCGTAGAAAGGATAGCACTAACGCACATCTACACCATAATGACATCAGGATCCAAAACTTGTAACTTGTGTAGTCTTGCATGCAGCCCATCAAGCACAGCACTTTGCATTTAATTGCCTCGGCTAACAAACCTATAAGTTTTCAAGATTAGAGATGCACATACGCAACACTCACATACAATAAAACGTGAATAAGTTTTTTTTTCAGTGTGACTCCTCAAAAAATATATTGTAACACTTCTTGGCTAGGCAAAAAGAATACAGATGACAGAAAATGGTATTTTCACACACTGACTTACTTGGCAAATCCTATCTGAAAAAGGCTGTGCAAATGATGTGATCTGTATTAGTTTGTCACTGTCAAAGCCCCAAACCTCAATCAATATTTATAAAGACTCTGAATAAGAACTGAGATACTTGTCCTTTTAGAATCCAATATCTCTTGACTTGCCAGAGCTACTAAGATTGGACTCATTTTTTCAAATATTTCAAGGCTGGTAATTGCCTCCTCCCTCCCTGAGTGTATGCTCTTGGGACTCAGTGTGACGATGCTTTGCCTTTCGAGATGTTCTGCAGGTACGTCACTCAAGTATAAAGTTGTTGTTCAAAAAATATCTCAATCATGCAAGAGGCTGGGATAAACCCCTGTCTCAAAGTTAACGTACGGCTTTCAAAGCAATGTGTTATAAGCCATATACTCAATAAATTCTTCACTGAAGTACCAGGAAAAGCTTGCACTTAATCCACGTGATGAATCTGCAGAGTAAATACCAGACATAAACAACAGGCAGTTAAAACACAGGTTCCAGCACTCGTTCATCCCTGGAAGCAATAGACGACCTGTACCCAGCGCAAAAGTTCATGAATCCTGATTCACAGAGAGTGCCTGGACCCAGTTCAAGCTCCTGTATTAAACCCCTCAGGACCACCCAACAGCAGCCTGGAAGACCACAAGTGAAAACAGAGAGAAGAAGAACACATTGGATTAGATTTCGTCAAGGCTTTAGCAACCATCGTGGCCAAATTTCTGCTATAAGCCGTTTTGCAGCTTATTCTCCACCAATTCTTCAACTCTTGCGTTGGCGGTTACGGTTTGTGCTAGTACATCCACACTGCTTTTGTATTGCATCCATTCTTTACAACTTCATTTGTATATTGTTCACTGCAATGAAAACTGCTTTGACTGTGCTCTCCTTTACAACTGAAAGGTGCTCAACCCACCAACAAGGGAAACAGTAACACAGCATACAAGCCTTGGATCCATGTGGCAAAATTCCCAGGTGCCTTCAGGCAGTATGTAATGAGAAATATATTCTGAGGGTGTGCTGATGACAAAAGCCCACATAGATCCTACTTCTTTTTCTGCAGTACCAAGCAACAACCTCCAGCACAGTCACATACATTTTTACTGGAAAGTCCTTCCATCCTGCTTAGAGCAGAGCGATGTATGTGCTTCTACACAGTACACGCTAAAGTTATACCACGACTGACCTATTTTTGCCCCCTTGAAAAACAGGAAAAGCAGCTTCCTAATGCAGATACAGACTAGCTACCATTACACCTGCTTTAGCAGTAATGTAAAAGAATAACATTTCATCCATAATTGCATCTCATTTCTATCTGTCCAGTCAAAATAACACCCAATCCATCAACTTCACACCACCAACTAGTTACACTTCTTCCTGTCAAGTCCATCCAGATAAGCGTCGCATGCTTCCACCAGCATATATTCACACCATTTTTTCTAATTCATTTTCTCATTTCACCACTCTTTCTCTCTATATACCTGGCTACAACACCCAGCTTTCCCATGTCAGAAAGTCTCTTCGGGTTTTCACTTTTTGAGCCCTTTAGAATCCATCCCACATAATTTAGCCTGAAATATTCCGCACTGCCTTTACACTCCCACCTAAATGCTCACATTGCTTGCAGGCCTTTTCAGATGCCTTCCTTCTGAAGAAAAACACTCTCTCTGTAACCTTCCCCTGCCCTTTTTCCATGGATTCAGCCAGCGGTGTGGATCCAAGGCCCATGCGGAACACAGTGCAGCTACATGACCTTGCCTCCAACTTCTGAGGTAGCTGCTATGTTCTAAGAAGCTGCACAGTAAAGTCATGCCAAGATAAGAACGGCAGAGCTGAAGAGTGGGTAACATCTTTGAGATATGGACCATTAGCAGCACAAGTACTCAGAAGTTAAAATACAAACATAATAAGGTCTCAGTTCTAAAAAAAAAAAAAAAAATCAAAAAAGCAACCAAACAACAACAACAAAAAAAAAAAAAAAAACTAGGAAGCCAGAATATAGCAACTCAGCAACTCTGAGCAGCAGAGGCTGACCCTTCCCCTCCTGAGGGATGGCTGCCTGGTGTGTTAGCAGGGGGGGGTGAGCAGATGAATGCTTAGCCTAGTAGCTCATTAAAGCCTCGCTGTTGCTTTTGTGCATGCCTGCCAATAACTGTTAAACGTTTTTACACTGTATATACTACCCTACCCACAGACTCCCTTTGTACACAGCAAAAAGTACCCCAAATGACACAGAGGAACAGGTATTATTACTGGAAAACCAAACTGATGTCCTTTTCCCCACTCGAAATTCCTCTTAAACATTTTTGTCACACTTCCTGATAGAGCTCAAACAGCTGGTGAACTGCAATCACCGCGCATCGTTGCAATGATCCAAATTACCTCACTGCTTTGCATATTCCACCCACCTGCTCACCCTAATTGGCTCTCATCATATATTCAGATTACGGTCTCTGCTAAAGAGCAAACTTTCCTACAGTGACATATGCAACAGGGTTTGACCGCAGCTTGCTCATGTAGCAAGTACCTCTGCCTTCAGCAGAGTAAACATTGCAAGCTCCCACTGCTTTGCCACTGTTTACCACTTCCTTTTGCTCTGCCCATGCAAGTGCTTGTAGGACCGTGAGGCAAACCGGATAACCGGAATGATCAGCGAACGCTTATCGTTTTCCTAGAAAGAGTTATCCTGAGCCCAAAGTCCCCCGCAGCCGGGGGACAGCGCGGCCCGCAGGCACCTCCAGGGCTGCGCTGCCGCAGGCCCCGCGGCCTCCTCGGGGCCGGCACCCGAGGCACGCACCGGGGCACCGCGGCGGCACCGGCGGGAGCGGAGCGGCACCTCCCGCTGCACGGGCAGCGCGCGGCCGCTCCCGGAGCCGCCCGGGGCCGGCAGCGCAGCGGCCCTGCCACCGGCTGCCGGTGCCCGGCGAGGCCCCTGGCGGCGGGGAGCGCGCCCGCCCCGCGGAGCCCCCGGCGCAGCGGAGCCCCCGGTGCCGGAGGGGCGGCGGGGCGGGGGCGCGCCCGGCCCCGCGGGTGGGGGAGTCCCGCGTCCCCCCCGCCGCTCCCGCACTCACCTGCGGGCAGCCGCTCCCCGCACACCGCGCACGCGCCGCGCGTGCGCCCGCCGGTCCCGCCGCGCGGCCGCGGCTCCCGTGGGCGGGGGTGGCGGGGGGGAGGCTCCTCTCCGGGCCGGCCGGGGCTCTCGGCTCGCCCCGCGGGGACTGGCGCGCCCGCCCCGCCGCAACAAATGGCCTCTCAGCCAACGGCACAACCCCGGGACGTGACCCCGCCGCCCTCCCCGTACCGGCGGCGGAAGTAGGCGAGGGGCGGCCCGGGGCGGCGCGGCCCCGCCCGGAAACCCGCGGCCCCGTGACTGCGCAGCACTGAGCGGAGCCGCCGCCAGCCCGGCCCCGGCCAGGGGCACCCCGGCCCCGGTAGGCAGCCGCCGCCGCGGCAGGTGGGTCCCGGCGGGAGGGGGTCCCCCGGGTGCCCGGGGGATCGGTGGGTGTCCGGGGAGCTGAGGGCGCGGCCGGTCCCCGGGGGGTTGGCGCCCGCAGAACCGGCTCGCCGCGGGGGGAAGGTGCCCGAGGGGTCCTTGGGGGCCTGCAGGGATCCTGGGGAGTGGAGCTGCGGGTGGGCTCCGTGCGGGGACCGGGCGGCAGCAGGGGTTCCGTGCCCCGGCTCGCCCTGGTGTACGCTCTCGGTGACAGGGCGGGCGCCCCAGGATGAAGCGCGCCGGGACGCTGCGGCAGGTCTCCGACTTGAGCGACTTCAGCCGAGGCCACCGGCTGCGGGAGCTGCTGTGCCGCGGAGAAGAGCCTTGCCATGTCCAGCCCAGCCCCGACGGGCAGCACCTCCTGGTCCTGCAGAAGAGCGGGCCGCCCCCCACGCCCCGGGTGGTGGCCTTCCAGCGCCACAGCATCGCTGGAACCGACCTGGAGAGGAACTGGCAGCCGCCCCAGCCAGCCCTTGTAGGACTGCTCTTCCTGCAGAGCCCTGTGGTACCGGACTCCTGGGTACTGGCCATGGTGTGGGAACACGGCCGGACCGAGGTCTGGCACTTTGTGGTGGCCGTGGGCTGGCAGCTGCTGCAGACACTGGAGCTCTGCCAGGGTGCCCGGGCACGAATTGTCTCCGTGTGCAGCCAGGGAGCCAGCCTGGTGTGGTGTGAGGAGAGGCCGCCCCTGGGTGCCCACTCGGACATGAGCAAGTGTGCCTTCAGATTCTGTGTCTGTGCCCGTGCTCTGGAGGTGGGGGAGCAAGGTGTGAGGCTGGGCACCGTGAGGATGGTCCTGCACAACAGCCCTGAGTACCAGGTCCTGGCCTCCCCTCAGCACATCTTCCTGGTGCCTGCTGCTGCCAGCTTTGCCACCACTTCCAAATTCCTCCTCATCTGGCATCCTGAGACAGCAAAGCTCACCATCACAGCCCCCTCTGCAGGTTTCATCCACAGCAAGGTGCTGCACTCCAGCAGCGAGTCAGACTTCAGAAAACTCCTGCTGGGTTCTGTGGGCCTTCTCTCAGGTTTTACACCCCTGGACATTCACACATCTGCTGTGTCTAACAGTGGGGGTCTGCTGCTGGTGAGCACAAAGGGTGCTGTGAACATGGTGGAGCCAGATGGGACACAGAGGCATGTCTTTGACCTGGAGGTGGGCTCCCTGGCCCAGGGGAGTCCTGTCCGGCTAAAGACCTTTGGCAGCATCCTGGCCTGTGTGCTGGCTGGAGTCCTCTACCTTGTCGACCAGAACAATGGAAGGCTCATAGAAAAAGAAGTACTGAGCATGAAAGAGGTGCATTTCCTGGAGTCCTCAGGAGAGGAGGATGGTATCCAGCTCCTCACTCAAGCTGGCATCTATAGCTTTTGTTTCTCCAAACCTGAAGATAGCAGCAGACCTGAACCATGCCTGGTGGAGATGGTGTTTGAGGAGGCCTGCAGATACTACCAGAGGAGAAGCCTCAGCAGCTCCAAGCTGACAGTGGAGAAGTTGAAGAAAGGTGGTGCATTCCAGGCTCCTGTGGCCCTGGCTGCCATCCTGCAGCACAGCCTCCACCAGAAACAGAAGCCAGCCCAAGGCCTACAAGACACTTATGCCAAGCTGTTGAGCACAATGAGCCTGGAGCTGCAGAGCTACATGAGCCTGGAGCTCCTCAAGACCTGTGTGGTGTGTGCCCCAGAGAGTGAGGTGGAAAGCTACTGCAAGGAACTGGTGGAGCAGGAGGTCAGCCGCATTCTGCACTCTGACATGGACAAGGACAATTTGGCCTACCTCAATTCTGTCTTTGCCTCTTTCCCCAAGGCTGCCTGGAAGGCCACAAGGAGCTGCCTGCAGCTGCAGCAGAATGGGGACGGCCTCTTGGTAGCCAGGGCCACCCCAGAGGTGTGGAAGAAGGTTCTGGGAGGGCCACAGCTGGACGACATGGGTCAGAATGGGATGGTCCCACTCTTTGAGCTCATCTGCACTTCCTTCCTGAGGTTCAAACCCAAGTGGTTGCCCAGTTTTGTGGAGCTGACCCAGCAGTACATTAGCATGTCTTGGGCATACAGCAGCAAGGAGGGCCCAGAGGGCCGGGTGCCGCTGTACAAGAGAGCACTGGGAGTACTGGCCCGGAAGAACAAACACAGCGAGGGAGACAATGAGATGGAGCTGGAACTGCTGCTCTGCAGCAAGAGGCCTAAGGCTGTGTTGCAAGCTCTGCACCTTCTTATCCATCTGAAGCGGTGGCAGCGGGTGGTGGAGGTGGCAGAGAAGTTCTCCAAACTCAGCCCCTTGCTTAACAAGGAGATATTCACCACACTGCTGGCTGAGTTTGCCCAGCACCGGGAGCTGGACCCATATCTGGACAGGCTGTGGCCACTGTGCCCTGCTGAGCTCACTGCCTCAGACATCCTCACCGTGGTCCTGCAGCACCTCCCTCACTCCCAGGAGGACCCAGTGCCTTTCTCCAGCGAGGGGAACCAGCTGACCGTGGGCTTGCTTAAGCCACTGCTGCAAAGGGTTGCGCAGCATCCCAGTGTCCACGAGATGTACTTGGATGCCTTGCAGAGTCCCACCTTCCCCCCTCCTACCCCACCCCGAGAGCACAAAGTCCCCTCAAAAGCAGCAGCCGATGATGTCCCTCAGCCACCGATAGCAAGGACTTCCTCACCCTCAGCACTGGTACAGGATGACAGTGTGTGATGGGGGGAAGGACAGCGTATCCCAAGCCTTGGGTGCACGAGGAAGGGAAAGCCACGTGCACCCCAGGAAATCCTACCCTGTGTGGCGGTATGGAAGCCTGCTCCTTTCTGAAGCCTCCCTGTAGCAGCATCTCGAAGAGCCTGTTGGGTGGCTGGGGATGGGGGATCTCCTTTGAGCCAGGGCAGGCTTTCTGGCTATTCCTATCAAGTGCAATTGTGTGTGCCCAGTGGAGGAGCAAATGCCAGGTGCATTTGCAGATGAAAATGCTGGTTGCGCTACAGGACTACAGAACTGCTCCCTGCCCAAAGCACTTTGTTTTCAGTTTGCTTGGCTCCTTTATATATCCACTTCTACTTCCCTGATCCTGTAGGACTGGTGGTGGAGTGATGGACAGGGACACACACAGTCTTCCCTCCCCATTCTCTGCTCAGTGAGTTGGGTGGTGCCTCTAAGTTGTGCGTGTGAGAAACGGGGCATGTTTCTTGCAGTGAGGTCACCAAGTCCTGCTTCTTTGGGCTCAGTCAGATGCTAAATGCCAGTGTGGCACTGGAGGTCCCAGCACACGTGCTGGCAGCTGCAGCACTCTGCACGCTGTCTCACCACAGTTCCTCTGGGATCAATCCTGTAGCTGTGACTGATTGCAGCTACTTAGCTGAAGAGAGCAGCCTAATTCCCTTATCTCTCTATCCCAGACAGTACCCAAACTCTTCTGAGCTGAGAAGCTGGCAGCAGCCTGTGTGAGCTTGGGGCTGGCCCTGCCTCTCCCTTTCCTTTATGGAAGCTTAGATTATGCTGCAGGACACCCAGGCCCTCTGTTCCCATCTCCTCTACCTTTGCCCTTTGCACACAAAGGGGCTTTGTCAGGGTTGTCTGGCTCATATTGTGCCTCTGTTTGCAAAGTCGGTGTAACTTGAGAGCAGTTGTGCAGGAAGATCCAGGTTCCAGCCTCACTCTGATACCCTCTGCCTGGCCCCCTCCACCAGGAGGGAGACTCTAGCTATGGCTTTGCCCCTGCGTTCTGGGCTGTGGTGTAAAGGAGCTGTCTCTTGCCTTGTTGGGCCGGGGGAGATTCACCTCCCATTAGTCCTCTTGAGAGTGGTCTGAAGTGTGGAAGACAGACTCCTTTTAAAAATAAAGGTTTCTAAAGCAGTGCTGAGGTGGTGGTGGATGTTGTGAGGGTGCACACCCTCGGGAGGAAGGCAGTTGTGTTTTGCTTCTGGTGAAAAGTGGACAACCTCAGCTCACTGGTACTGCCCAGCATGGCTCACTGTTGGTACAGCCGCGTTCAGAGAGTGTGCCCAGACAGCCCATTCCCTCAGCTACTTACCACTATGAAGCCATGGAGGCAGGAGTCTGCACAGGCAGGTAGAAGTGTGTATGCTGCAGAGAAGGCCCATCCATGCAGTGCACAGCTGTGGCTGGGCCCAAGACAGAGTTGAGGATGGGGGATTTTTTCCTCAAGAGCTGCAACTTGTACATTTTTTGGAAAACTAGCAGTGGGAAGTATTTGTCTGGCCCAGCAGGAGCCTGCTGCCAGGCACTCAGTGTCAGAGCTGCTGTTGGAGAGATCCTGTTTTGTGAAACCGCTGTAAAGATGCGGCAGGGCCTCCCCCAGACAAGGGCTTGGCTGCAGAAAGTCCCTGTGGTGGAAAAAGGTCTGGCAAAGAGGAAGAGGAACTGCTGCAACGGTTGCCTAGAGGCTGGCTGGCTATTGATGAGACCTTCCTTGTTGGGAAGGGGGTGCTGTGGCTGTGGGATGCTGCTGGTTTCCTTCCCACACAAGGAAGCCACCTGATTCTGGCAGCTGCTGCTCACATGAGCAAGGGAGCCGGGCCTGAAAGGAGAGCTGGCAGCAGCCACTGTGGGCTGTCCCTGCCTCCTCTCCAAGCAGCTGCTGGCTCTGCCTGACGCTGCTCTCACCCACCTCCCAGGGCTGCTCAGAAGGAGGATGATGGACGGACCCAGAGCCCTTTTGGAGCCATTGCTCCAAGGACAAGGATGCTGCCCTGGGGCAGCACTGAATGGAGAGCTGCTGAGAGCAAGCCCCACACCTTGGCAAAGGCTGTGCAGTAATTGGTGGAGATCTTCATTGCCAAGGCTGGGTTTGGATGCAGGTGGTCACAGTAGCACAGCGAATGAGGGTCAAGCTCCCTGCCTTCCAGCACTAGTTCTGCAGAGAAGAAAAGGCAGATCAGGGAAGGAGCAATGCCTGTAAAGCCAGCAAGAGGAAACTGAAGCCAGCAGCCATCCTGTGTGGGCTGATGTCCCCAAGGCACAGCAAGGGAAGAGGAAGCGGGGAACGCTGTGTGGTAGGGACACCCTGAGGCTTGGGGAAAGAGACCTTCACATGCGGGCCCTAGACAGGCAGGAAGCAGTCAGAACTTGGGAGCCTGAGGGTTCAGGGTAGGGGAGAGCAAGAGACAAAACTGAGCTGAATGCTTTCCAAGAAATGCTGGAAATCCCCAAGGACCAGAAAGAGTAGACATCCCTATGGGGAGCAGTGACCAAACCACTCCAAAGAACAAGATTCAGCTGAGTAATAGGCAAGCACAGGGCTCTCTCTGCGGTCAGATGGGTGCTGAGGGGAGATAGCAGGAGGTAAGGCCGGTGCAGCTTCAGATAACACCCAAAGGAAAAACCAGCGATTAGGAGATCTGAAGGCAAATAGAAAAAGCAATAAAGCAGATGCATGTAGCAGAGGGTGAGCTGGCCAGCCTGGCCCTCTCACTCTGCTCCAGAGAGACTTAGACTTTACAACAAAGGAAATGAGTCAAGCTGCTCACGCATATTCCCTGTGCCTGACATGGCTTTTGGGATGGTCCCTGTGCTTGCACGAAGGAGCAGCACAAAGCAACACCTGCACTCACCCCAAGGCTGCAGACCAAGTCACCCTTGGCTTATCTGTGCATGCAGCTCGCGACGTGCAGGAGTGGACATGGGAAGTCCCCGTGCCACCATATCTAACAGAAGGATATGTGGGCTGCAGGTACCCCATAAACTGGAAACGCACAGATGACACATACCAGGGTTGCCAGAGGGAAGTGCTTCATGTCTTGGGGACACCTTGGGGTGGCACCTCATGGACAGGAGGCTCTTGGTGTGGCTTTTCCCAGGAAAGGACCTGACACCCAGCCAGCCACAAGTGAAAAGGGCTGCCCGGTGAGGGGAATGTCATCCAGCCCTGGTGATGCTGAGCAGTGGTTCTGTATCAACCCATGGGCTGGCTGTGGGCAGAGCGCGCTTGGGAACCCCAGAAAGAGGCCTCTGGTCCCAGGCACAGCCCCAGCTTGTGCCAGCAGTGGGGAACCCTCCCTGTCCCTACCCCTGTGTCCTTCACAGCCAGACCTGAGGAGTGCAGCCACATCCTACAGTGCACACAAACATCCCATTTATTGTTTGACACCAAAAATCACAGCCTTGAAAAGAAGCGGGCTCCCTGTAAAAATAAATAGTCACATTTTTCAAGTCAGGGGGGCCTTTCCATTTCTTCCTCCATCTGTGGGCGACGGGGGCTAATGCCTTGTGGATGGCCTGGGGATTATGTAGTAGTTGAACGCAGGTGGCCTGCAAAACCAAGGTCACTTACATCACCCCCAGCCACAAAGGGAGCAAGGGACAGCCCAGGATGCACTAGGATGGCCAAATATCATCCCACTCCTATCACCCAGTCCCACAGGAAAGAGGCTATGGGGACAGCCTCCCCAAACCCACCAGCCTGGGAGACTGGGAGCAGCAGCACCTCCAAACTTAGGAGTATGGGAAGATGATGGGGGAACCCCAGAACTGTGTGCACTGCAAAGGTCCCACCCTCAAAGCCTTCCCCTGGTACCAGCACCCTCCTTGACCTGCACTCACTCACCCTGTTCCCCACCTCACCCACCTCTCTTTGTGCCCTGTCCCCCTTCATACCACAGGATCTGCCCCCCATCCCACACAGGGACCTGGCAATGCAAATAGCTTACATCTCAAATTCTTCATTCCTGGAGGGGAGAAAAAAGAGAGGACAGTGTCAGTGGAGCAAGACTCTTGGGACAACCTAGCATCTCCTGGTGGGACAAGGTCTCCCCCAGGTCACAGAAGAACATGGAGAGTTCAGGGTGCTCTGGTCCCCTCCATCCTGGATGCCTGACCTGAAGACAGAGCATGGGCTCCTACAGCCCCCCTGAATGTTGCTGCCCCCAGAGCCTCCCTGCTCCTTCCCTGGGCAGGCAGAGTGGGGCCCACACTCACCAGTTCAGCAGCACACAGTTCCCCCATGCCAGAATTTCAGTTCCCCCAAGTTTCCCAGGCAGCTGAGCCTGTGTCTCCAGCCAGCTCAGTACAGGACCAGGGCTGGGGAGCCCCAAGCACACTGGCTGCACTGCAGGGCCAAGATGTAGCCCTCAGGAGTTGGAAAGCCAACAGGAAACTGCTCACTACCTTCAGGGTTCAGCAGTGGAGTGGCAGTGGAGCTGCTGGTCAGAGGGTCCCAGAGGGCTGGGGGGCAGCCCTGGGACACCGGTGGCCACAGGTGTGTGAGCAAGCACTGCACCCTCGTGGCAAGGACACCATCCATGCAGCACATTGCATTCTGCACAGCATGAAGCTGAGCTCCTGTTTGGGGGCCCCAGGACAAAAATAGTGCAAAACAGAGCCAGGCAGGTGATGGACCCTGAACCAGGCTGGGGCTGCAGCCCTACCAGCTCCTTCCTCCGAGGGGAGCTGGATGCACTTTCATCTGCCCAAAGAAGAGGTTCAGAGCTGGCAGGGCCAGGCTCTTCTCCAGAACATCTCCACCCTCAGAGGCTGAGAGTCCCAAGTCAGCCCATGTTACTTTAGGATCAGCCCCACAGGCTACCATGAGGCACATGAAGGGACAGCTGGCAGTGCACGAGGGGACCCCAGACCCAGTCTGGCCATAGGGAGTGGGGCTGCTCCTCACCTGTACACATCAGCAATGTCCATGCGGCGGTAAAACTTGGCAAGTCTGACAGACAGGATGATGCTGGGCAGCAGGAACAATGTGCACCAGCCCAGGCTGAACCAGAAGGCATTCTGGGGGGTTGGGAGGAGAGCCATTAGGGGTAGACAGCAGCTGTGAGAATATCTTTTGCTCTCAGAGCTCCCCGATGACCACCCACTCCTTCTCACAGCTTGCTCTTAGCCACAGCAATCCGCTGGGGAGAAGCTGAGCCCTGCTTCTCGGGATGCTTCCTGTGCATCCCTCATCCTTCCCTGCATCCCTCATCCTATGCATGATGGAAACAAGGGGACCTCACAGCCACCCCACACACACGTTTCACTCCACACACCGCTACCCCACTCACCACAGAGTCCATGATGTAGTCGCAGCCAATGACCTCCACATTATCCAGGGTCTGAGCTACAGGTTTGCAGCGTGCCACATCTTCTGTCAGCTGGACACATGGGTGGGGACAGGACATGTCAGCACCCTGCAGCTCATCCTCCCCTTCCCTCCACCCCACCAAGGAAGGCTCAACTCACCCTGCTCTTGGCCCATGAGATGTAGGTCTCAAAGAAATGCAACAGCTGCTCCAGGAAGGCCCGCGTCTCCTGGTGGGGGGAAGCACAGAGTGGAGATGCTGCACCACCAGCCCTCTCCATGCCCCATGTCCCCTCTGTGTCAGGATGAGGGCTCTCAGACCACCTCAACTGCATGCTTCACCCCACCCCAGCCCCTTGCTGGGGGTGCCATAAGGGGCAGGGGCACCCAGGGGTGCAGGAAACCCCCAGGGAAGACAGCAGGGCAGGACAAGCAGCCAGACATTGCTTGGCATCCCTGTGCAGAGGGAAGTCTTGATATGGGGGTGCAATCACATCCCCACAGTGTGGCCCAGGAGCAGGACAAGGCAAGCTCACATTCTTGATGATGTTAGGAGTCTCCCTCTCCAGGAACTTCTGGGTTTTGTTGGCTTTGTCCAGCGCAGTTCTTGTCTGTCCCTGGGGTGAAAGGTGCTCTCAGCAGTGTGATGAAAGTGGGGTCCCTACCCTGCACAGCAGCACTCCTTGGGGCACAGCCTCTCTCAGCTGTAGTGTTCCCAGCAGTCACACACTGGTAGTGCCCAAGTACTTCAGGTGAAGGGAGCCTGTACCTGGCAGGGTCCATGACATGGGCCCCCTCCCTTTGCCCCATGAGCAGCCCCTGCAGAGAATGCCTGGGGAGTCCCACAGCAGCCACCAGCCCCCTAGACTGCAGGTTACCCCCACCATCTCTGCTGCAGGACCTCAAGGGCGCTTTGCAGGGTGCCCTGGACTGGGGTGCACTCAGGAAGTCCCCTTGTGCAGCTTACCTCGAGCTGGGCAGCCCCGCTCTGCACTGAGTAGATGTTCTTCTTCAGGCTTTGCTGAGGACCAAGAGAGGGAGGTCAGAGGTGTGGACCTCACAACTCAGACAAGACCATGCCAGCAGGCTCCAAGCTCTAGGGAAGCCCAAGCCAGCACCCCCAGGACCTCCCTCAGCTTCGCTCACCAGTGGTCCAGAGAAGTCCACCTGCATCTCCTTGTCCACCTCCCTCAGTTTACGAGCCTCATCTTCCAGGTCCGTTTTCACATCTATGTCCTGGAGAAGCTACAGTCAGCAGTGCCCCAGGCACAAGGTCCAGGCCCCACCATAGCCAGCTGATGGGCCTGGCTGGGGAAAAGAGCTGGACAAGGGTGAAGGGCATCGCCTCCTCTCAACACCCAGGCAGGGACAGAGGAGCCCTGCAGCCAGTGGCTTTGAGGACAGGGTGGCCATGGCCCTGGAGTGCCATGGTCTCTCACCGTTTTTTCTGCCAGCTGCTCCAACTCTGTGGCCAGATCCAGGAGGCTTCCCTGGGTTATGTTCTGATCCAGCTGGAAAAGGCAGAGAAAGCCATGAGAATGGGGCTCCTGTATGCCATCCTTGTGGGGCAGAGTGGAGTCAAGGCCTTCTGGGTGGAGGATGAGCTTGGTTGCCAAATGGGGTGACATGGATGAGAGCCTGCAGTAGGATTACCACAGCAGCAAAGGGTAGGTGACAGTGGACATCCTCAACACACATCCAAACACCCCCATCCCAACACCAGGCTGCCTTCAGCCCACCTGCTCCAGGGTGAGGGTGAAGTCGGGGGGCTGCCCAGCCTGACTGGCATGCAGCAGCATGTCTTCCTGTGTCTGGTTGAGCAGGGAGACGGGGCTCAGGGTGATGTTCATCTCCTTGAAAGCCATGGAGATCTCTCCTGTGTACTACCAGAGCAAAGGGGGCCATATGGAGCATGTGCTGGCCCCTCACTGTCCCCTCAGCTCTGTGCCCCCATCCCTGCCTTCCAGACCTGGCACCCCCAGGCTCACCTGGCTGATATTCAAGAGCTCATCCAGGGACACACGCTGGTCCAAGTGCAGAGTTTTCCACAGAGAAGCATCTTGCCGGCATTGCCTGCGGGATGGGGGCGTGGGCTGAAAACAGGGCAGGCAAAGGCTACCCCCTCCCAGGAGTATGTCCTCACCTGTGCAGGTAGGTCGCACCTTGGTCCTTCCCTGGCATCAGTGCCTGCCCACAGCCACAGCAGGTAGGGCAAGCTGCCCCCCTCCTGGAGAGCATCTGAGGACATTGAGCAGGTGTACCCTTCCCCAAAGACACAGTGCCAGGGCTGGGACCCACCTGTATATCTCTGAGAAGTTTGTCGTGTCACCCTCCTGGCCCAGCAGCTCTGAGAGGTTGAAGCCAGGGATCAGGCCGGGAGTGTCCAGGAGCTAAGAGCAAGAGAAGAGATGGAAAAACTAGACACAGTGCAGGGCAGAACACCTCAGAAGGATATCCCAAATGGCCAGTGCTGCTACAGCTCCAACAGCAGCCCTCGGAAAGGCAGCAGTGGCTCTGGGCAGGAGTGTCTCCCCACAGGGAGCTCACCTGGAAGAGCTGCTGGTTGCGCCAGGACTCGCAGAATAACATGTAGACATTCCCCCCCACCACGAAGATGATCATCACCAGCAGCATCAGCAGCCAGGAGAAGATGAAGCTGAAGCCAACCCCTCTGCCGGGACAGAAATGCTGTCAGCACCTGTTGGCCCTGTGCCCCAGTGCTGATGTTGGCATTGCCCCCAGCTCACAAAGCCCAGGGGCTGCACAACCCTTGCCCTCCACAATTCCAGGAACACCATCATTCCTCCAAGCACATCTCCATTCTGCCTTCAGCCCCCAGAGTACGACCTGGAGCTTGGATTCCAGAATAGCTTCCCACAGCTTTGCAAGCCAGCACTCCCCTGCAGAGCTGCAGGACCACACACACAGTCAGCCCCCACCAGCACAGGGCAAACGGGCTCCCCTCGAACGCCTCTCACCAGCACCATGTTTTACCTTCACATTTACCGCTGCATGGGGAGTTGCCATGGGGTGGGCTATTAATATAATGGGACTGCAGTAACATGATTATTTAGGAGCTTGAGCAGCCCTGCCCACCCAACCCACTGCTCCCACACACATCCTCAGCAACAAAGGGAGCCTCACGCCATGAAGAAGTTCCCGCCAGCGTTGGAGAGGCCACTGCGTTTTGTGGGCAGCACACCTTCCTTCAGCCCCAGGGGCCCCAGTAGCAGCCCAAAAACGTTGCAGAGGACCACCAGCAGCACTGTGCAGCACAGGAGGGCACACACAATCAACCTGGGGCAAGACAAAGAGCAGGAGTCAGACAGAAGGATCGGGGACCCTGAACAGCACCCAACAGTCCACTGGCTGCTTTCCCGGGGATGAAAAAGGCCCCAGGCACTCTAGCAGTGAAGGGGCACAAGCAGCTGCAAGGTACAGCTCTGACTACCCTGCATCCTCAGCTCCACCACCCAGTGAGCTCCCACCTCCAGGAGGTCCCGATCAGGATCAGGAACCTGAGCCTCTCTGGACAACAGAGCTGGGGATGCAGCAGCCCCTCACCTACCTGAGCCCATCCCAGGTGATGATCGGCCCCCTGTACTCCTCCAGCACCAACGTGGTGTTGCCCACAAAGGCCCCAACTTTCTCCTCCACATCCGGGAATGGCAGCTGTTCCTGCAAGCTTCTGATCTCCTGCCTGATGAAGCCCAGCTGGTCCTGTGTTTCTGCAGGGGACAGGTTGGCACTGCAAGCTGCTGCCCAGGTCCTGCAGGGCAGCGGAGACCAGGAGAGGATGGGATAGGGACAATCATGGCCAAAGATGGCATTGGCACAATGGCACCTGGGGACAGCCAGGGTTGCAAGCAGTAGGTTGGCAGCAGGTAAAGTCCACCAGGCAGGGGTGGGTTGAAAAGGGAGGAGGGAGTCTTGGGAGAGAAGAAGTTGGCACACTGCACACAAAGCCCTGCTTACTTGCCACCACATCCTGGGCCTGCTCTTGCACCTTCTCAGAGATCATGTTCAGTGTTCTGTTAACCTGCAGCAAGGGAGCACAGCATACAGTTCACACCCTTGCCCTCAACCCAGGGCTGAGCAGCACATCCTCTTGGCCTCAGATCCCAGTGCACAGGATAGCCGGGACCCCCAGAGCACCCAGTCCACCCCACCAGTGCACAGGGGTGGTGGAGACAGTGAACAGACCTCTAGCCAGCCCTTCCCTTCATGTCACAGCAATGAACTCCCCACAGGGCTTTTCCCAAGCCACCCCTGTCAGCACACCCCAGCAGTGCTGCGAGCACCCAGTCCATAGCCTGTCTCTAAGGGACACCTCTCACCTTCTCTAAATCAGTCGCTATGCTGGAGCGAGAGACATCACGCAGTGCCTCCAGCTGCTGCTGCACACTGGGGATCTGCAGGGAAGAGCCTGGGGTGAGAGTGCAACAGGGGGCTGGAGAAGGGGCTGCGAGGCCCCTCACCCCGCCCCCCGCCCCTCCTCACCGTGCTGAAGTTGGCGGTGAAGGCGAGGCCATTGAGAGACACGCTGTTGCAGGGGGAGCCACAGCGCTGCAGGGTCTGGTTGAGGCTGTCCCGCAGGCTGTCCAGCCGCTGCCCGAACTTGCTCTGCAGCTCCTCAAGGTCTGAGCGACTGGTGGTGATGTTGTAGAAGGTGGCCTCCAGCTTCTCCATCCCTGGGGAGACAGCAGGGGGCTCAGGGCCTTATCCTGCCAGTGTGGCAGGGACTTATTCTCACCAAGCTGAACCTCAGGGACCCTGAGGTTGCATGACCCCATGCAACATAGGGGCACCCCCAAAGCCCCAGCACTTGCCCCAGGGTGCGACTGGGAGGCCAGATGGATCCCACTCCCTGGGAGCCTTACCCAAACATGCACCTACCCCAGCTCTCAGCCCCAGCATCCCTGAGTCCCCTGTCAGCCTCCCAGGGGTGGGGCCATTACCTTGCAAGAGGCTCTGGAGAGATCCCAGAGCCCCGTCCGTGCTGTTCCTGATGCGTGAGGTGATCATGCTGCCCAGGTTGGGCCCAATGTCTGCAGAGATGGGAGAGGTGGTGTCACTCACAGAACCTCCGCTTGCAGGAAAGCTGGTGAAAACACTGATGCCTCCCAGCACCCCAGCCCTCACCCACCCCTCAGGTGGGGGTCAGAGGGGGCACCCCCACCCTGCCACCACCTGCATCACCCTTCCCAGAGAGGAGCCTGAACGGGGAAAAGCAGCTGCTGGAGCAGAGCTGAAGCCTGAAGGAGCCCCCAGATTTAATCCCTTTGGACACCCCCATAAGAACCAGCCCAGTGACCCCCAGGGTCAGCAACCATCCATAGGGCAGCAAGGCAAACCCACACAATACCCCCACTGCCCAAGCATCCCCAGCCCTGGATCAGCTCACCACAGGGGCACCTCCAGCCCCGCCCACCACACACACTCACCCTGGAGGCTGCTGTTGACATGGCCCAGTGGCACGTCGCTGCTGTCAATGATAAAATCAACTTGCTGTAGGGATAGAGATTTGGTGTCAGTGTGGGTGGGAACCCTTCCCTCACTCCAGCCCTATTGTTGCCCCTCCCCAGGAGGCTATTTAGGCTGCCCCCTACATCTGGCCCCTTGCCCCCCATCAGGCACCCCAGGCGTGGCAGGGGGACCAGGCATGCCTGGGGAATGGAGGCCAGGTAGGTGGTGATGTTGTCCAGCGTGTTGTTCACATTAGGGAAGGTGCTGTTCACGGCCTGGGAGAAGCGGGCGTTGCTGATGAAGGCACAGACACCACCAGCCCTAAAGGGAAGGGCGGCAGGGTCAGTGCACGGGGAACTTAATCCTGATGCTCTCCTCCCAGTACCTTCCAAATCCACCCACACCGAGCCCAGCCTGCAGGGTCTGGAGCACGCCAGTGACCCCCCCCTTCCAGTGCATCCCAGCAAGTGCCCTGCACAGAGCTAAGGGACCAGAGAAGAGGGACGCAGGAAACTGAGGCACGGGGGAGCCCAGTACCCAGTGCACCTCCAGTTCCCCGTGGAGAAGCTGTCTGGAAAGGTTTGTGCCCTGCAAATGAGCAGGCCCCCGGGGCCAGCTTCCCACCGCCGCCGCTTCCTCTCCTTTGTCCCACCGTGCCGGGATCTACTCATGTGAACAATGGCAGTTTCCTGGCACGGCCGCCTAGCGCCGGCGTTTCCACCCACCCCTGGGTCCCATCCGGAGCGTCCCGGCCAGAGTACTCACAGGAGGAAAGCCGTGACCAGCAGGACGGAGACCCAGAGCGCCCAGCGCCGGCAGCCCATCCCTGGCTCCTGCTTCTGGTACATGCGGCCCCCGCAGTTCCCGCAGCAGCGGCAGCAGCAGAAGCAGCATCCCACCAGCGGCACGAATATGATGAAGAGGACTCCAATGGCCACACAGACCAGAAAACCCAGCTCATACTGCAGCAGCTGGGATAAGAAGAATGAGAGGCAGCATAACACTGGTGCCCCTGAAGACTCCTCAGCTCTGAGGGTCCTGTCCAAACCCACACAGGGCAGAATGGGTCCCCTCAGGAGGCTGCATATCTCCCCTTGCTGCTGTATGGCATCCAGGGCTCAGCCTCAGAGCAGCACCTGCTAGCATCCCCCAGTCCATGGTGGTCTGGGGCTGCCAGATCTCTGCCCTGGCTGCCTGCTCACCTCCTTGATATCCTCCTGGTTGAATTCGATCTGGGACTGCCCAAAATCAATAATTTCTGGGGAATAAGAAGCAGAGAGGGCTGTGAGCAGGTGCTAGGGCCTGGGGGGCTCTCCAGGCAGGCCCCACACTCTGCTCATTTCAGAGATGGACTCCCAGTCCCAGGCATCACCTGTGGCTCAGACCAGCTGTGAGTGCCTGGCATGTTTCTCCTTTCCAGTTGCCCTCCCCAGCCCACATGCTGCACAGCATTTTTGCATCTGGGAAAAGTGCTGCCAGCCCCAGACTCTCAGGGTTCCACAGAACAAGGGGGTCCTCAGCCCACTGGACATCAGAGGCACTGCCCTGGGGCTGTTCTCCTGCAACCCAGCCCCAGGGAAATGCCTGAGGGCACTGCCTGCGTGGGATGGCTGCAGGGGCAAAGTCCCCCTGACGTGCTGTCTCTTTCATCCCCGGGGCTTGCCCTGCCCATGGCCCACGGACTCATTACAAGCCATGATGACACAGGGTGCCATTTATTGCACCCTGGTATCTGTGTGACATGAACAAGGCCACAAGGCCACAAGGCCATTGAGGAGTTTGCCAGCCGCACCTTTGCCTGCAAGTTGATAGTGGCAAGTTCAGGGCAGAGCTGTGCCAGCGACACATCCCTGTCCCCTCAGATGTGGAGGAGCAAGAGCAAGCTCTGGCAAGCTGGGCAGTGTGCAGGGAGTGCCCGCAGAGCTGCTGTGCGGGCACTGGCACTGGGACACGCTGCTCTTGGTGGCCAGCAAGCACAGAGAACTGCACGCCAGACAAGGACTCTGCAGGCAGAGTGGGGTGAGGATAGGGCAGGAGTCTGCAAGGTGAGACTACCACCAATGCCTGTCTTGAGGTCCAGCTGAGAAAGCCCCCGTGACAGTTGTGATGGGATATGCGCAGGACGCAGATAGCAATCCTTGGGGACCCCACTCTGATTCCCCCAGCCATACCCCTCCTTACCCAGTACCCCAGTGTTAAAATGCTGAATGGACAGTCAGCAGTGCAGGAAGGCTCAGGCTCAGCTGGGACCGGGAAGCTCAAAGCAGCCCCCCCCACCCCCTTGCCAGCCCCTCCACTGTCGTGTACCCACCTACGGGCAGGGGATTGGGCTGCACCAGCCTCAGGAAGCCGTGTGCCATTGCCAGCAGCCCCGGTGTGTTGCTCCCTGGCCCCTCAAGGCCAGGGCCGTAAGTAGGCTGTGGGATGTTCCCCAGCTCCATTGCAGCAGCTCCGGTAGACACCTGGGCACAGAGAGGAGCTGTCGGTGTCGTCGGGGCAGAGGACCACCCAGCCTGCCCTGCCTCCAACCAGGAAATACAGAGAGAAAAATCAGGCACCTGCCAGCTCCTGCCCGGAAGGAATAAGCTGTGGGAGAGCACCAAGTAGTGATGGGGAGTCCTGGGAACAGGGGGGTGGGAAGCCAGGCAGGAGGTGCCCACGAGGGACCAGAGGGGCTGTGGGGGATGAAGAGGAGCACTCACCCTGTCCTCTGGCACCACTGTGCGTCCACAGCTGCTGCAGGGTCCAGCCACACAGTGCCAGCGCCCAGGTTTGTGGTTTGTTTAAGTTTCAGAGGTGATTGCTGACAAGGTGTTTGCCGGGAAAGGCGGCGATACCGGGATCGCCCCACCCTGCCCACTATACGTCTTGGCACCCGGCCACCTCGGGCGCCTCTCCGTAGCGGGTCACCACCGACGCGTCCCGACCCAGGCACCGGAGAGAGCCCATCTCCTCACCCTGCGCAGAGGTCCCGTGCTCTTGCTGGTTTCCTCCTGCCCCAACCCATGAGCTAGGTGGCCCGGGGTGATCCATCCCATACCATGCCCTCACCACCGGCATCCCTTCGGGATGGAGTGCATTGAGCCGGCCACAGTTTCGGCACAAACCAGCTCTAGCCACAGAACCAGGTTTCGCATCTAAAAATCTTCCGAAGCGGGGCACTGCGGCAAACCTGGCGTTTTCCAAACGCGCCCCGGTCCCCCTAAGCGGGGGACAAGTCTCAGAGGCCCCCTAACGGGGTTCTTCCTCCAAGGCTGGGAGCCTGCCTGGCTCCATCCACGCTCCCCGCAGAGCTTTCCCACGCCGCGGGGGCCACGGGTGACTCTACCCCTGCCCCCGCCCCGTGGTTCTCAGCCCCCGCCCCGTGGTTCTCAACCCCCGCTCCGCCGCCGGGACTCCGGGAGCCGCAAATGGGGTCAGGAGCGGGGAGGGGCGGGGGGCGCTCCCGGTTGTGCCGCGGACGCACCAGGCAGGTGCCCCGGAGGTCGCGTCCCGGCGGGGGGCGGTGGCGGGCGGAGGTCCCCGGCTCGGTACAGCTCGGCACAGTTCCGCACCGAGCCCGCAGCGCGGGCGGCCCCGGCACGGGCGAGCAGGGCTGGACAGAGCCGCCCCTTCCGCCCCGACCCCCCGGGGCGTGCGGCCGCCTCGGCCCCCACCTCTGCCGGGGAGGGGCCCCCCGCCCCGCCTCGCCCCGCCCCGTCGCGCCGCACCTTGGCACCCCTCCTGAACCCCGCTCCTGGCCCCATTCCACCCTGACATTCTGCATCTGCCCTGGAGACCCCTGTCCCTGTCCCATCTGGGAGAGCCCGCCACCGCCAGGCCAATGCCTGTGCCCAGGTGATGCTCCCTCCTTGCCCAAGAGACCCAGCGCTCGCCCCACACTGTCAGACCCAGTGCTGGCCCCTCTGGCAGCCCACCCTGCCACAACCCCCTTGACCAGAGCTGCTCTTCTTGCTGCCCAGCTTTTTCCTATGCTAGCCCTCAGCTGTGCCTGTACCCCTCACCTCCCACCCCCGAGCAGCTGGAGCCCCCAGCATGGTCTTTGGCCCCTGCTCCGTGTCCCTGCATGGGGCACCATGAGCTTTTGGACTGGCACCAGTGGGGAGTCAGGGTGAACTGTGCCCGAATGTCCTTTGCATAGTGGGCTTCCTGTCCCCTCAAGCACCCATGGCTTGCTCACTGTCATCTCCTAGTTACTGCTTAACTTTCCTTGGCACTAGCAGGCATCACTGCACTTTGCCACCTGAGGCAAAAGTGTCATGGGGAGGAGGGCAGTCTTGCTTCAGGGTTTCTTCCTGGTCTGGTCCATACCAGGTGCTGGGGTGCCATTCGGAACTCTCTGGCTCAGTACTGGCACAGGGGCAGGGCAGCAGAGGACACAGATGCATCCTGCCAAAGAAGATAAAAAGCAGGAGCTAGCAAGTTTCTCACAGGATCTGATGTGGGGAGGGAGGTTTGGGGGCTTCATAGGTAGACTTGGGCTTTCCAGCTCAGACTTCAAGTGTTGCCTTGGGGCCCTCCACCAGTTCCCAGGTGCACGTGCAGGATCCAAACAGGTTAGATCTGCAGGATCCTTCACAGATGGCAGGATCTGCTTCTGTAGAGCATTGCTCCCTTCCAGCCCAGGGCATCCCACTGAGGCTGCCAGAGCTCAATGCACATCAGGAGCAAGGGTGTTGACATCTCAGCTCTGGGTGCCACCGCACCATGGGCTCATTGGGGCCACCCTGTACACACCTGCCCGGCCACAAGCTCCCACCACAGCACCTGTATCCTGCAGCCCCGCTGACCTCAGTCCCTCAGGGGTAAGGATGGCAAGGTAGTATCCCTCACTGCAGGTGTAAATCCAAGCCCTGCCCCTGCTCTGAAGTCATGGGCCCATCCTGCCCTCACCCTCCACTGCATCAGCCCTGTTTTAAGAGCCATTTTCCCCCACATCCCTTTTTTTCCTCCCCATTACTGCCAGATCTGCCCTCATCCCACCATTAATCACAGCCACAGGCTCCTTGCCCTACACTTTTGGCCACAGTGGGGTGTGTGCGTTGGATGAGGCACCCACAGTTTAAGCCTAGTGTCCACATGGCTGGGGGTTGGACCCAGCTACCCCCAGACATCTCCCCCAGTGGGGACAGTAAGATGCCATCTCTGGGGACAGCTATCTGCCCTGGTCTGGGGGAACCGGTGGCCTGCATCTTGCCCATAGTGCTGGCATAGGGCACCCCAGCTTCTGGAAGGAGACTGGGGTAGTCCCCATACAGGCTGGCACTCTGGGGGGCCCTTGTCCCTCCTTTGTCCCCCTTTTGTCCCTCCAGGACACCTCTATGCTACTCAGCTGCTGCTGCCCCGTTCCCACAGCAGGACTGCACTGCCCCCATTGCTCCCCAGGGAATATGCCCATCACCTTGGTGTCCAGACAGGCCCTGAGCTGCCTGTTTGCTCTGGCTTGGGGACAGGGCCATTTCCCAGTTGCCCTGTACCTTGTGCTTGCTGAGATTTCTACTTTCCATGGTGTGGCAAGGAGCTGGCCATGCTCTGGCTGGGAACCAGCAGCCTGAGGCGAGCCAGCATCATCCCGGGAGCACAACAAGCCCTGTGCATTCACCCTCTGCCAGGGCACCAGGGACATGAGGAGACCCCTCTCTGTCTTGCCCACATTGGCCAGGTCCCATGCTCAGAAATAAGTGCTCGGGACAGCCTCAAACCGAAAAGTCATTTTATTGGTACCATACATGACTCATAAATGGCACAAACTATGGAGGGGAGGAAGAAAAAAAAACCAAAAAAACAAAAGCAAAAAAAAAACCCCAAAAACCAACCAACCAAAAAAACAAACAAACAAAAAAAAGAAACAAAAAGGCATTACAGTGTGCCTGGGGCAGCGAGGGCTCCACACCCTCCACGGCAGCCCTGTGGCATGGCGCGGAGAATTGTACCTTAATTGCAACTCATTCAGAGCCCCGCTCCCTTCCTGCCACACCAGGCTCCCACCCTGGGATCCTACCCCCACCTGCAAAGGGGCTGTGGGGACCCCTGTGCCTGCAGCTGTGGGTCTGACCGGCCAAGCCCTCTGCCTCCGGTCTGCCCATGGAAGGGCCCAGGAGCCGACACAGGCATCTCTCCAGGTATTTTCAGCTTGACCAGGGCTGACTCAAAGGACTCTCATCTCCCTGCCCAGCCCCAGGGACAGCAGAAGGAGGGGGCACACAGGTTGGCCCCCACCCTGTCTCAGCAACCCCCTGCACTCTCAGCTGTGAGCAGGCAAGGTACAGGGTCCCACAGCACCCCTGCTGCAGCCAGAGCACCCGGGCAGGGACAGCCCCTCAGCGACACCTGCCAACCCCCCGCCCCACGGGGCAGTGGGACATGGACTGTGGGATCCCTGGCAGGGAGCTGGGGGGGCCAGTGGAGACAATGAGGTGCACCACCCTATCCCCCAAACTTCAGGGCTGCTATGCCTGCCCTGGGCTTCCTTACACATGCAGACAGACACACAAACCTCTCGCACACACACTCTCACACACACATACCCCCCCCCACTAGGGCAGTCCCCCCACCCTGGCCACCCCCATGGCAGCACTTGCTGCAACCCCACCTTGGGACATGCCAGGGGGCCCCCACGGGCAGCCCAGACTCCCATCTCACCCCAAAACCTCCCTCCAAGGCTGCTGGGGTGAACTGGTTAGCACAAACACCCTCCCCCGGCACCTCCCATCTTCTCCTTGGAAGAAGCCTTGGAAGGGTTTATTTTTTTTCTTTTTTTTTTTTTTTAAACCAAAAAAAACCCCCAAAATTATTATTTTTCTCATCGTTTCCCCTAACATCAATGGAGGCACCTGCTCTAGTGATAACACATTGAAAGAACAGTATCGTACACACTGTCTACAGCGCGGAAATGTACAAGCACGAGGTACACGAACCCGAGGGGGGGAGTGGGAACAACAGCACACAAGATTTACATTGAGGAGGGAGGCGGGGGGCTGATCCCCCCGACCCCTGGAGGGATTAGAAAGGAAGTCTGCAAAGTCTCTCCTTGGTTTGAAGCTCTCTGAACTGGATATAAAATGAGACTTCCAAGAGAAGAAGCCTGTACAAAAGTCAGGACAGGGTGAGAGGGCTCAGGATAGGGAGGGGGGAACCGGCAAGGGGGCTGAGGGGGGCTTTTCCCATTTTTTTTCTTTTTTTTTAAACTTACAATTTTAATAATATTATTTTTTTTCTTAAAAAAAGACAAAAGTAGGAGGTACCAGGAGCCAGAGTTTGCAAAGGGGCCCCAGGCAGACTCACGCAGGGTGGAGGGAAACACAGGGGCTGCAGGCAGGGAGCAGAGGCTCCAGCAGAGCTGCAGGTCCTCTGTGTCCCCCTAGGCCCCCCACCACACATTTGCTATATACAGAGTCCCCCCATGGCCACACTGCGCTTTCGCTCCGGGGAGCGAGGGGAAGGGGAGGGTGCAGGAGAGCGGGGAAATATGATGGGGCCCTATCCTCAACACCACCCCAGCGCTGCAGGATCTGACCCCAGCTGGAGGAGGCTCTGTGGCAGAACCTGAGGTATGAGGACAGCTTTCCATCACTGTCTCCCCCACCCAGCCCCAGTTTGGACTGGACTGGGGATATGCAACCCTGCTGCAGGTGGCTGCTCAGGAAACACCAGCCATAGGACCCAGGGAGGAGGAGGGTCTCGGAGCTGTGCCAAACCCCAACACATCTGGTAACGCCAGCTGCTGCCAACACCTCCCTCCTAATTCCCCCCACTCAGCAGGGAGGGGTTGGGCACATCGGGGCGGGGATGAGAAGCTCTCTGGGCAAGAAGCAGGGAGGAAGAGAGAAGGGGGAATAACGAAGCTATGGCCCCGGAATCCCACCCCTGCCCTGGGGTCCATTGCAGAGGCAGGCATGGGGGTGCGGGGAGGTGGCGGGGGGAGAGGGCTGGGGGCTGCCTGCCTGGCATGCGTCCCAGGCCATGCACCCCATCATCCGCATGGCGCCGGTGTGCCCCCGGGACCTTGCCGCTTCCCAGTCACTCTCCGTTGCAAATGTACAGGTAGATTGGTTGGGACTGAGTCCACGGGGCGGTGGGGGAGCCGTTACTGCGACGCCTGTGACGTGGGGTTCTCTGACTTGCTCTCCTGGCTGGAGGGCGGTTTGCTGTTCCAGGGGCTGTTGGCCCCCAGCGCCGGTGAGTTGTTGAAGCTGTCCTCGTCGTCGATGCCGTTGGCGGCGTCAAACTGTGTGTTCTCCAGCCGGGTGATGAGCCGCTCGTCCTCGTCCCCAAACTCCCCCCCCATCAGCGTGGGCTCGCCTACCACCATCACATCCTGAAAGGGGAGACGGTCCCGAAACATAATCGAGGTGGGGGGAGCCTGGGCCGCCAATCTCACCCTCAACACTGCAGCCCCTTTCCCCAGCTGCAGGGCCACTTCCTCGTCTCCACCACAGGTCCCAAGCTCGGGCACTGTGTGGAACAACACATCCTCACTCCCTTGCAGGAGCACAAAGGAGCTAAGGAAGGCTGCTGGGACACCCATTGCTTC